TTATATATTTTACATATTTATATATTTGATATATTTGTGTGACAAGAAGGGGATCTGCAGTTTCTCAGCTTGACATGGATATTGTATATTCTGCTTCTTACTGCTAAAGTCACATACCGAACACCCTTGGGTCTTGGTAATAACAAATAATGTAATAGAATGATGGACTTTAGTTGTCTGTCAACTGAAAATCTGACAGTGAAAGAAGTAAAAATAAATTAAGTTGTGCTAAAGACGTTTCAGCACACATTTCAAATACTTTTAAAGCTTCTGTGAGGAACTTTTGGTTCCTTTCGGTTTTGGCGCCCCCCTGTGGACAAAGTTCTAACTCTTATCTTTCGCCATGCATGCATGAAAGTAGTGTTTTTAGACAAAAACCTCATCCTGTCATCCTTAAACAGCGACATGTATCACTCACTGTAAGTATTTGCAGTGGGAAAAGTCATTTTTTCGGACTACAAGGCAGCCTGATTTTGAATATTCTCCTCACCAAACTCAGGTATAACTCTCAGCCAGAGGAGATTCAGGATGGGAACAATTAATCAAGCATCGAGTTATTAACTGTTAAGTACGTACTTGAACGCACGTTTTGTTGGATTTTTTATTACGTGCAGAGAGGTGTTTAAATTTCAGAGCATGTTTCTTCGTGAACCAAGTGGCTAAAGTATTGTGCACAGCAGAGGTGCTCAGCCTGGGACTCCTTGAAGCTCTTTTCACTTGACATGCAAAGAGATCTCCAAAGCTCGAACATGAGTGTCCCTGCATAACCACGATATTAGTGCCTTTTAAGCGTGTGGCGCACAGTTGCACTCACAACTGTGATAAAAATACAGCATGTTCCCCGAAATTCAGCAATCTGAGAGCTATTTCTGTATGAAGTTCTAGTGTGTGACATGGTGAGAAGAAAACAAAGAGTTCATATTTAGCCCTTCATTTGTATATAAGAGTAATCGAGCGTATGGCACAACTAATCTGCACCCTTACAGGAATATCTTGATATCTTGTGTGCATGAGTGCAAACAGGCCTGCAGACACTGATTGTGATTTAGCGTTTGTATATATGGTGTGAAATTTTCTGTATGTGTGTATGAGATCAGTGTGTGAGCTATTTTCAACACCTCCCCTCCTCCCTCCCCTCTCCCCGCTTCCTTTTCTGAGAATGAGGAACAAAGTTTATCATCAGCGCGCCCAGCCTCACATGTGTAACATCCTTGAAGAAACACAGCAGTAACTCACTGACCTAAACACACAGTTACCACACACAGGCAGGCAACACATGCCTCTATTGCGAGGGCCCCCCGAGCTGTAAAAGCAGCTGAATGCATGTCTTTTCCACAGGGGGAGAGCCACCCAGGTGAAACAAGGTTAACAGATGTCTGTCATCAGCTTTACAAGCTCAACCCGAGCATGGATCACAGTAAACTGTTGCCTAACATTTTCTTAGCGCCCACACCCTCACATGTGCATACAATTGCTTAGGTTATGAAACAGCTGAAAGAAAAACAGGTTTTAAGAAGGACAATAGTTATGTCTCTACATGCTGAACATAATCCTGGTATAAGTAAGAAAATTGAGGATAATTAACCCTGACAGTAAAGAATCCCTACAGGATCACTGTACACATGTAAATACTCATTTTATTATAATTTCAAGATCTTGAATCTACACTTGTGGTGAAAAACAATCAGGACACTTTAAACTGTGTGCTCTTCAGACTGTGACAAGTTAAGAAAGCTAACAGCCTTGAATAGAAACATCAATAACTTCCTCAAAAACTCTTGGGCTGAGAGAGTGAGGATCATCTCTGTTATTGATGACTAAAGTCCACGTCTCATCAATCCCCATTAGACACCAGCTACACCGATTTCCTGGACAAATCCAGATAAGACCTTGAATTTCTCATCTGGCCTGCAGAGTGCTGCTCAAGAGGCAGATAAATACCAGTTTAAGACTGTCAGGGCTAAGAGCTGAACATTGATATATCTTGTGTGCTTCTGTGAAGACATGCAACACACATTAACACACAGAGCCAAGCTCAAGGCTGGACATCATCACAGGCATGCATAATACATGAGAAAGTGAGGGGCAGTGTCCTGTTTCTCCTCCAGAACTGCTGACCGGTGCATCCCCCCTCTCAAATACACCACCCTCGTGTGTGAAGGAAGTCATCTAATGAATGCAGTATGTTCCTGCTGAGTATTTTTACCACAATATTGTCTTCCATATTCGGTTTTAAATTCGTTTGAGCTGAATTGCATCCACGAAAAACCTCTGTGGGGGCAGATTTTGCAACTTCTTTCTGGTGCACTGGACTGATTATGAAACTGCTGTCATGTAATGTTGTAATTACAGTTAAAGAGTTTAATTAGTGAAATTATTAAAGTATGTGTTAAACTGTGCAATAGAGTGCTGTTTGGAAGTGTCAATCCCACATCTTCATGTCCCACCCTCTTTTATTTTTACCCCCAATGCCAATGCTATTATGAGCAATATACAGTAAAAAGTTTCATTGAGTCACAGCTATATATAAATTGTTCTTTTTAACCTGTTATAACTTCCCTGTTATCAGAAGTAATTCAGGTGTGATGTTTATTTGATTTTTACAGCAATGCCATACTGCCCTCTGCTGGCCAATCCATTATCCTGCTCTTACTGTACTTTCACTCAGTGTTGTTTTTTGACAATCACTACCCTCTTTCTTTATATTCATTTCGGGAAATACATTGAAATTGATTTTCATCATTTGTTTAGACTTAGTCTGAATAAGGTCTTTTCAGAGCAACAGGCAGTGTCATCTTTTAAACATCTTTAGCAGATGATATTGAGCTTGTATAAGAACCTATGAACAAGTAATACGAACATATCCCTCAAAACTATAATCTCGGTAAAATAGTGTTTTCAGACAAATGCCCTACCTGAGTGGATGTAAATCAGAGAGCCAATTCAATTATATAAAGCTGAAAAACATCTTTACACTTCAATACTTCAAGATAGATAGATAGATAGATAGATAGATAGATGGATAGACTTTATTGATCCCAAACTGGGAACTCCTCCTAAGATAGTATGACTTTGATCACAGCTAAATGATTTTTGAAGTCAGCACGAACAACACAAATAAAAAGTGAACATTAGTTTGATCATATCTCACTGTGAGGTCTGAGTACTTGATGCAGTAGCAATAATTAGTTAGGACATGGGGCCCTCTAGTGGTCATTTAGGGTGACAGTGTTTTGGAAGGACAACAGGCTGATTAGATTAAGGTGTGCAACTAAATTATTTTTCTCTGCACTTGTTAAGATGAAAAAATAAATAAGATCTTCATGTAGTATGTGAAGGAAACACTGTTAATTATTTTATACATTTTGAGCAACTTTGTTCAAAATGACATATTCACGTGGTAACTCTGTAGAATATAAAAAGTGTACTACCAGACATGATTGAAAACAACTCCCCCAAATAATATTCTAACAGCAGTCATCATCCTCTCACCTGACATGTACCTATACACACCTATATTCAATATTAAGACTATATTTAAAACAAATGTATGTAATCTACCTCTTATATAGTGGTATATTCACAAATGTTTCAGTCACTCAACAGTCCTCTACACTCCTCACATTGCACTCTGGCCCAAAACATTCTTGTGCATACAAGTATACAAGCTTGTACATATTTGTGTAATATTACATGTTTCATGTTTGCACATAGGGAGCAAAGTCTACCGGAGTCAATTTCCCTGTGTGTGTGACGTACCTTACAAATAAAGCAGATTCTGATTCTGGTGTAGGTCCTTTTAGGCTCGGTCCAGTCCAGCTCAAAAGCTCTCCTCGCTTCTTCATCTTAATCATCTGGATTCTGAGTCCTCAGCTGATTTAAAGGGCAGTGACACATTTTTACCTGAAAACACAGAATTATATGAAAAATGTGGTTTCATTTCAAGGGTGTTAACATATTGAAGGCTCCATACATTGTTCCAGACATAGAAATAAATCTGTATATTTTCTAACATGGATATCACTATTTATAGTAAACACATTTTTTTTTCTTCACAATTTTCACTTGATATCATACAAAGTTCCTTCAGTTGGTTTTACTTAAAAGTTTGTTCCATGACCTGGGTACATTAAGAGAAAAAAAAGATTCATTTTGTTGTTGTTGTAGCCCTTTAATGCCTGAAACCACAAATTATGGCCAAAAAATTCTATTTTTTTGGAGCTAAAATGTTTATTTCACTTACTACTGAAAACCAAAAAAATGTCCTTAAAATTTAACAAATATATTTGTTTATCTCGTTTGATACATTGGATGTTTTTGGAAACTGATAAACTAAAAGAGGACATTTCTATTTTATCGGACAGTATTCAGGTGTTGTTTTTTTAGTAATTTGTTGATCATATTAATTTGATAGAAGTATATAAAAGTATGTATCAAATATGATACAAACGGCATTAAAGGGTTAAGCATTTTCATGAAGTTAGGGCAACTGATCCTAACAAGCTTTTTTATTTTAAATGCCAGCGCTAAATTACGAATGGTTTCTCGCATTGATAAAATTCATTCATTTAAAGGTCGTCAGGTTACACAGATGCAAGCCGAAAGACAAGCAAAAACTGTAAACCAAATAGTAACATATGTGACTGAAACATTAAACAGACTTTGCTTAAAAACACACTGTGTTGTTGTAAACTTACCGTCACACGACCTCCATGTTTGTACTCAAGAGCGCCAAAATCGACATGACGCCATCACGTTTTCTTAAAAAACACGCACCAGTACGACTGCTGCGTTCGAGCTACCTCGGAAATCAGAAGTCCGAGCTAAATATGACGTCACACCCAAGTTACTAGCGTTACAGTTACCGTCGGACAAAAGCAAAATCGGAGGCGTAAACACGATGGCTACTTCTACGAAAGTTATTTTAGCACTTGCCTTGTCTTAATATAAGGTCAGCGCTAAATCGTGTTTCCGCCTCCGATTTTGCTTTTTACCGCCTTGGTATGACGTCATTTTCAGCTCCGACCTCTGACTTCCGAGGTGATTCGAACGCAACAGAACAGTACAAACCACGCTCCATATAACCCACGCCCACGTAGCCTATGAACGACGTTAAGGAGGTTGTGACAAAAAGTATACCAACGCAATTAAAATATAAAGCGGTTTATTACTAATTGCTGCAACAATCTGTGATAATAAATGGCTTTCTTTGCTGTTAGTGCAATTATGGATAAGGCTGATTAGTCCAACAAAATGGTTGAAAATAAACACATTTTGAGCAAATGTCTGTTTTGTTTTGTTTTTCTTACTTGTTGAGCAGAAAAAAATTAAATAGGTTGTTTATAGAGTGACTTAATGTCTGTCCTTTCAAAACATTAAATCATAATTGGTTTCCAGACTGTTTATCTCTTAGTTTCCCTGTTCATTTTAGTGAAAGCCTTCCCAAAATAATTTTAATCACAGCAGTCTAGTTAACATTCATTAGTATTATTTAACATGATGTTTTATGTCATTTGAATTATGTATCTGTTAGTCATGTATATATCCTTACATACTTATTTATCTATAATTATCAGGTACATTTAACAAGTTGCAAGGAACCTTGGTGTGGGTAATTATTATGTAAAGGGGAGGGATGTTTTATGTTTAAATGTGTTGCCTTACTTTTCTTGTTTTATTTTTCATATTTTTTTGGTTTGCATATTCAAAATAAACTTCAATCAGTCAATCAACATGTACCCATCCTTTTGTAAATAACAGGAAAGGTTAGAAAGAAAACAAGGTGCAGGGCTGATGTGGAAACAGTGTAGGGTTTAATATTTGTAGTCCTGGTTTGACCTTTGCAAATATCACTTCAGTCTTCCAGTCTTGTCATTTCAAAGATGATGTTGATACAGCTTATCTTGTATTGTCTAACTTGAAAGTTGGCATTCCTGCAAGAGGCATTTATGGTTATACTGGACTTCATAACTGGAACAAGACAGACAAATAGGACAGAACAGGTGTTTATTAGGCAGTTTTCAGTACAGTGTGGAAATGCATATAAAATCCTGGATTTTCTTACTTTTTTAACTAGAAACTGCGACATTGTTTTGATTAATTACACAGTACAGTAAAAGCAGAGATTTATTGGGGTTAGACAATTCTGCAGAGTTCCCAGAGATATACCCTTGTGAATAAAATGTTCAGGATCCCTTCAGGTAGAGACACTCAACAAGAATTCTGTTCCTTTACCTGTTTGCAGTCTTTGCCCTGGAGCAAGACTTTTGACTCGCCGACACTCTGGACACAAGTCTGAGTTATACAACCTTTAATTTAAGTCATTGGGTCACTTCGGTGAACAACTCTTCCCCTTTCATGAATACAGCCCGTGGATTTATCAGTTTGAAAATCAGATCGCTACCAACATGTCACCAGACTTGTGACGCCAATTAACGTCATTGAAATGTTTAGTCGAAACTCCTCCTTCTGCTTAAAATCAGGCTGTTTGAGCACCTCTTGCACCAAACTCTTAACAGTCTACATACTTCTTAATACAAATTGAGCAAAATAAAAAAAAATGTCATTAACAATTTAAATATTCTCACAAATCATCAAAAAGTAAGACATTTGAGATCATATTAAAGGGTTAAATGAACTTTTCTTTAAGATATTTTCAAAAATGTTCATACCAGTGAAGCGTGAACTCAAAGCGAACGAGTGAATCATCCAAATTTGTTAACCGAATGAAAGTGAAATCAAATCAGAGTGAACAGCAGTGAAAGTACAGTGAAAATAAATACAAGAAATATAAAAAATCTCAGCTCTGAAAGTCAAACTTATTACGTCAAAGCAGGGGCACAAACAGGTCACCCCTATCACCAAGATGCAGTTGTAATCTGCTTGTGTACATCCAGTCCCATCCGTCAAAGTACCTGCTGCCGCCATGGTTACGCAGGCCCAGGAATGCCATCCTTCCAGTCAGGGTTGGCCACATGCTATCAGTGTCACAGCAACTGTGTGCTGAAACTCACCGGGAACACTGTGATCTCTGGTGATACACAGTCCCCGCCCACTCCTCAGATGGCAAGTCCACAGCAACACATGAGCCATCTCCTTTTGAGAGGGTGACAACCTGTCGGGGGGGATCCCAAGAGTTCGATACCAACAGTGCATCTGACCCCCATTCCCTATTTAAGACATGGGTTTATGTGGGAGCTGCCAGGCGTTTTAAAGTGTCCGTGTATAAATAGATCCCTGATGTGGGCGCGTGTTGTCCTCTGGGGGGAGTGTGTGTTGATGCCCTTGTGTGAGTAGAAGTGACAAGTAGCTGCAGTCTCAGAGAAAAATCAATCAGTATTTTCACACGGATCAACACCATAAAACCATGTGAACAAGGAGTCAATGTTTTTCAAGCTTTTTTCCAACAGGATATAAAAACACGTCCGATCCCGAGCTTTCTCCTTGAAAATCCATCACTTTTCATCAAGTCAGACATTCTTCTTCTTCTTCTTCTTTTTAAAGTGCTTTGCATCGTCTTTTTAGTTACATTTAAAAAAGTCACATGTTTAGTTATCTGGTTACTAAAATAGGATGGGCGGTTCCTGTTTTTAAAACAATAATAAAAGGTCATTTTTTTAAAAATAGTTTCCCATTTAGGATCTGAAGACGTGAGGATCTACTTTGAATATCGTCCCAGACTCAACGTGGCCTTCAGCGGTTTCTTCTGGCATTTATGGAGCTGCCGCAAAACAAAGTCAAAGTTTGCTGTCGTGGACATGGCGTAGAAGACGTTCGCTTTGTCCGGTATTAGCAACTCTGAAAACAGAAAGAAATAACACGCACTGTCAGAAGGGTAACTTCAGAACTATTTAGAGGATTATTTAAATAGTCAGAATGTTTTCGGACCTCTTTCCTGGGTGATGACCTGTGACAGAGTGAAGTCACGCCAGTTCATGTGCTCCAGATGATGTTTCTCCAGCGCTCTCTGGATCACCTGTGCAGTTTTGTCCTGGCTGGTCAACTACAGAGGACAAAGATTCAATAAACACGACTTATTGACGGGTGTGAGAGAAGCATTCAGGACAAAACTAACCTCTGCTCAAAAATGTGTTTTGCTTTTTGGTTCATGACTTGGATATTTGAGCTGCTCTGGGAAGAATAGTTGAAATTCTCTTGTGCTCACCTAAAACCTGACATGTGATCGAGGAGGCATCAGAGCTAGACGGGGCGCCAATTTTAGTTCAGCACGAGACTTGAAATATGCAATTTGACAACTTTTAGTCAAGTGTTTGTGATACACGTTTAGGAAACTTTCACAGGGGAAAAATCTTTTTTTTATTTTCACTATTTGCGTATTTTTAGGTCTGATTTTATCCACTATTGAGTTGAGGGTAAGAATACTTTCCATGGTGCAAATATAGTTAAGAGAAAGGGTCAAAAGATGTAGATTTCAAACTTCTGAATGGAGTATTTAAGGATGAACTCACCAGAATGCTTTTGTACATGTTTCCGTTGTTGTGGCCCAAATCCACGCTCACCCTGATTATACAGGAGTCAGCCACCTGGCGGTTATACACCGGCAGGGAGGTCATGGACACGGAGCGTTTGTGGTGGGAAGCTGGAGCAGGCTTTGGACGAGCACCGCTGCGGGATGTTACTGGCGTACTATGATCTGTCTGGCAATCTGAGGAGGAGCTAGAAGGAGTCGGGGAGCCTGGAGTGGTAGCCGCGCAGGGGAAGGGAGAGGAGAAGGAAGAGGACGATGACGAGGAAGAGGACGAGGTGGAGGAAAAGGCCTCTGACACATTGTTGCAAGAGTTGTGAAACGACTGTGAAAAGAAGGAAACAACAACAAGAGGAGGATTGTTAATGAGTCCAAGTGGAAATTTGGACCATAGTGATGAATAAATAGTACACGCTGTTCTAGATGCCATGACCCAGCTTTAACAAACACACTATTGTTGGCAAACCTGAAGAGAAGTATAGACAGAAAACAAGACTATGAAGCAAGGACATGGACACACAAACACACAGATGTTTACCTGCATTCTTATGGAACATGCCGAGTTTGGAGAGGAGAGATCTTCCAACTCAGACGCACTAGATCCAGAAGATGAGACACTGATCTGGTCAGTGGGAACTTTTTTAGATCCGTCATTGACTGTCAGGAGGCTGAAAACAGATAGAATTTGAGATTGAATCAGAAGACCACGGACAAAATCCTTATCAAGCTCAAACTTTGGTTTCCCCGATTGTTGGGTGGAGAAAGGGGTTAAAAATGTCTTGTTTGTAGCGGTTAACTTATTGTTTGTGTGTTGTGTGCTGGTCAGTGTAAAGTAAAATATGCACTTTGTTACCATAGAAATGATACTCACGAGGAGAGTTTCTTTGTGAGTGTGCGGTGGCTCCATGGAGTGGGTGAGCATAAATCCACAGGAGGTTCTAGCTGCTTCGACAGTTCATAGCTAAAAAAAAAAAAACACACACAGAAATGAGTCCTGAGAGCACTTATGGAGCACAATCTTCATTGAGACACCTTGTTTAAAAAGCAGCTTTAAGTTTGCCCTGTTGCACATGCATACCTGAAATATACTTATCATAGTTCCTGCAGTCCCAAATATCCCTTTTGCATCACTTTGCGTGCTTTACTGCAGTGCATTACTCTAAATAAACAAAATTTTCATCTACTTCTGTTGCTAAAAATGAAACAATGATGAGTTTTATCACTACTAGAGGTTTGTTACCAGCGTAGGCGACAATATATCATACTGTAAATGTCAAGCAGGTGTTTTCAGTGACATGGCAACCACAATGTCAGGGTTACACCCTCCTCACAGCTGATAAGGACTAGCTTACCATCCACACGCCATTATTCAGTTTGATGAGACATTTTGATCCATATATTGCAGGTTATGACGTTCATTTGCAAGAATGAACTCTCAAACTCTTCTGGTGAGAGTTTTTTACCATCTATAATTCAGATTATATAACTGATCTTTTATTTGACTTTCTCTGCAGGTGATCCAGATATGTAAGGTGGAGCAGTGGTTCAAACTTCATCTAGCTCACCTCTCTTGGTCACTTAGTAGCTTGTGTCCCTGCAGCCAGGCGGCAATTCTGGGATCGGTGGACAGATTGTACTGGGAACAGGATGTCTGCAGCACACGGATCTGAGACAGAACTTCAAACTCCTGCAGGGAGAAGGAAGAGTCAAGGGTAAACAAGGTGACGGAGGTTGCAAGATGCCCTGACGACTGACATCTATATGGTTACATAACATGCTTAAGGCAACGAAGTGCTACACAGCGACGGCACTGTTTCCAAAAGCTACAAAACTATCGGAAAGTGTTCTCAAAGACATGTGCAAATATTTACAAAGGAAAACAAGAGGGCTCCTGCCTGATGAGTGTCGTCAGGTGCTAAAAAAACAAGTGTCTGACAATGAGCCTCTCTGTTTACTTGGACAATATGAATAGACTTTACACTCCTCACTACATACACATGCTACGAGGAATGTTACGTGAACACTGTTTTTTTTGTTTGTTGTTGTTGTTTGAGACATTATGAAAGAAAAGTATAAGAGGAAAACATAAAAGATGACACAAAGAGTAAGCGCTTACCCTCCTCCTCTTCTCAAAGTTAATGAGTTCACCCTGTCATGAAAATGGAAGAATTTATCATGAATATAAATCAAATTAATAAGAAAAACACATCAGTTCTACTGAGAAACTGTGTTTTTAAGTTGTATTATGTACCTCCAAAGTGTCTAGGAGAGCAGTGTCCAGCATGGTGAGGACGGTCAAATATGTGCCCAGGTAAGGAACCAGTCCGCTGGAAGTACTCTGCAGGGAGAAAACAGTCCTTTTAGTGCCTTTGCATCATATTTGATACATACTTTTATGATACGTCTATCAAATTAATATGATAAACAAATTCCTAAAAAAAACACCTGAATTCAGTCCAATAAATGATGGAAATGGTTTATCAGTTTCCAAAAACATGATAAATAAATTTGTTAAATTTTAAGGACATTTTGATTTTTTTGGTTTTTTAGCAGTTAGTGAAATTAACATTTCATTAACATTTTGAATTTTCTGGCCATAATTTGTAGTTGAAGGCATTAAAGCGTTACTGCACCACTGAACGCCCATGTCATTTAAATACAGTTATCAGCCTGTTTTTTTAATAAACAGGTGGAGACTAGATGACATTCACAGAGAACCAAACCCAGTTAGCAGCAGCGTCATGGGTTCGTGTTACAGCTGAGGAGAATGTGCATATGACTCATAAAAGACTCTGGTCTGGTCTATTATGACTGCCCTATAATCCTGGTGATCCGAGGCCATTTGAGACTTGCTAACACACAGTGAGGTTAAAGATAGGTCTGGGTCCCAGCCATACCAAAGATACTCTGCCCACACTGAGTGAAACAAGCTTTCTTGTAGCATTTAGTGTTATACAATACAGAAGGAACTGAACTCGGCCTCGGGTCCTAGAGGAAATTATTGGGATGGCAGAAAAGTAAAGTTACTGCTTAGAGCTTAGACTGAACCTTTATCGCACAGGGCTTCTTAAGTCCTCAGTCTTTCCTGATCTGAGGTATTGCTTACCATCTGTCTGACTGGACTTCGCTTGGATATCTTTGGCGAAATGCTATCCATGGTGGCTTGGCCTCTGTCCTGTTAAAGTGTGTCAGACAAAGCCATGTTTAGTTGGATGTTAAAGGCACAGAAATAAAGATGATACTCAGACATCAAATATGAACTATCTTCAACTGTGAGTGTGCAAAAAGGCACTTAAAAGAGAGCTTCAATGAAGAATAAGAGCAGATTGTAATCTGATCCTCCAAACAAAATAAGTACTTAGAAAACATTAACCTAGAAATCCTGTTTCATAATGATCTTGTGAAAGGGACACTCCCATAAGTGTCCGAAAGTGCGGAGTCGAGGCATATTTCAGAGTGTGTTCACATGGATTAAGAAGCACTCAAATACAAAAATGAAAAGTTGAAAATAAAGGACCAAAACTTAAGTAAGGTATTAGAGATTTTAGTATTTTTCAAACAGCAAACACATGTGGAAACCCCTTGTTTGTTGCTTGCTGCGAGTACTACAGCGAGTATTTGTCTATCTATGATCTATTGACTTCAGAGTTCTTCCAGTGTAACTAGACACAGGCCTCCTCTGACGCAGTCGCCTCAGGCAGACTACATGAAAATAAAAAGAGGGAACATAATGTTCTTGAGATTTCCAGTTCTCCATTAACTCTGTGTTCACGCTCATTTAACCAAAAAAAAAGTGAATCTTTAATGATTGACGGGAGGCTTTGAGTGCCAACACTGAAAATCATTTCCACAGATGAATTCTTAATGTGTTCTTAATCTAAAGTTTATATTCTGTTGTGTTTAAATTCTGTATTCCCTATGCTGTCATTTTAGTATTTGGTCCAGGTGGCTAAAAGTTTGCGTTCCTGCAGGAACTGAAAGCCTGAAACAGCTGCAGCTGGTTGACCTGTTTGCATTGGTAAACATTAACCCTGGGATACATGTGAAGGTCAAAAACGAACTCGGCTCACAGTCCTAGGTCAAGTTATTGGAAAAATTCCTCTTCATCAGTAACTTTTGTCTGGAAATAATGTGGCAGTGTTTACAACTCAGCTAGATAGCATTACATATATCTATAACCGCCTCACTCGCTAAATCTGGCCTAGTTTTGTGAACTGATATATGTAAGTCATTCTAGCTTGGCTGGGTAAGTAGGAATATCTATATCTATATATCAATATATCTCTATCTATATTTATATACACTGTACATGGTAGTTTATAGCAAAGTTATATCGTCTCTCTATTGATTCTAATTTAGATTATTTTTGACTCACTGGTGGTTTGAGTTAAACTTCACATTCAAAGGTAAATCTAAACACAAATAAGTAATGCACAAATGCTCCTCCTCACCTCCACCAGGAGCTCTCTGTTGGTCAGGACACAGTTCTCATCGGGGAAGGTTTCCAAGAGGATATCAAATGTGGCCATGCTGTCCCTGTGGAGAGGAGCAGAGACAATATGTTGTGACTGTGCAGATATTTAACCCAAAAAACAACAGCAGGTCTTCAATGGTTAACTAACCGTGTTACACACCAACCTGTGCTAAAATATGACATGTCACGACATGCTCGATGACCAGACTTTTACATAATAGATATAAAAACATAAAGTTATGTTTCAGTCCTCCATGGAATAATAGCTAACTTCAGCTTCTGTGTTATTGAATATGGGTCATCAGAAAGCCAGACATTTGCTGACTTACAGCACTGACACTGGATTACAGTTTACGAGGGTTTAGTGGCCTCATTAAAGGATGATTATAAAACACCATAAAAGTGAAACAGGCCAAACTTCACCTGCTGACAGCGGCCCAGGTCTTCCTCAGCCTGTAAACTGCATTGGACTGAAGAGCTGACAGGATCGCCTTCAGGGAGGAGAAGTTCTTCAGCTGATAACAACCCTGCAGAAGAACAAAACCACACTGAAAACAAATATTCAAACATGATCGTGTCCTTTCTCTAGTAAAAACAGACAACACCTTTATTTACTGACCTGTGCTACTCTGATCCACTTCTCGATGATGGCGGCTCGTTGAGCTGGTGTAGTGGGAGATCGCCGAGAGGAAGGAGGGCTGGAGGAGGCATCTGTCGGCCGGCAGAGCAGGGACATAATCACATGGTTGGTAATGGCGTTGAACTGCGCAATCGTGGCCCTGATGGTGGGAGACATGTTTTCTTTTTTGTCCCTCTGTGACCAAACACAGCCCAGACACTGGTAGGGCACCACTTTGACGAATAAATCCTGAAAAAAACAAAACAAAGAGAAACCGTCTTTAGTCTTTGATCACTCATTCGGACTATCTTCATATAAAGTACATCTCCTGACATTTCTTTCTTATATTGAATCTGAGATAACTTTTCCTCTGGTCTGTTGGTTTTCATCACTAAAGGTAAAACAGGAAAATGTTCTAAACAAGGTGGTTAATGTCTACAGTAAAATAACTGGCTCTGTTCAGGGAACTTTACAGGATCTGTAAAACAAACAGCTGTACAAGAAAGCAAAATCCATCCTGTCTGACTGTTCCCATCCTCTACATGATCAGTGTCAGTTTCCTCCATCTGGTTCATTGATCAGAGTTCCTCTTCCTAAAACTAACAGATATAAACATTCCTTCATACCTTCTACCATCTCTTTTCTCAATTCATGGAGGTAAAGGTAGCTGTTTGTGGTGTTTTGATTAATTGTATTTTTGATTTTAGGTTTCTCTAGTCATGTTGATTTTGATTATTGTGCTTTAGTGTTTTTTATGACAAATAAAGTTATTGATTGATTGATTGATTGAACATACAGAGTCTATCCGGGTGAGCTGCTCAGCGATCGCTGTGGCTGAGAAATCCATGATGCCTCCTTGATCCAGAGAGCTGTCACATCCCGAATCCTCACCACCAGAACCCTCCAGATCTGCCTGAGCAGGACTCGTCTGTGTCTCAGCTCCTACAGAAAAGCAGGAATGTAATCATTGATTTTTACAGGAGGAATTTTCACGTTGCTGATAGCTTCCTGCATGAGAGGGCACATGGACAATAGCCTGTTTTTATTCGACTATGTAACAGGGGATCACCTTCATCCTGGAATCTCTTAAGCAGAGCTTCAGCTTGACCAGCCAACGAGCAAAAGTTGGGCTGGCAGTGAATGTTGTCGTAAACAGCAGAGCTGATTCTCAAGTGGTCCAACAACAGCCTGAGTGGAAGGTGCAGAGGAGGGTCCCTGAAGTCCTCGCTGTACTCATCCAACCATGTCTGGACAAAGGCCAACAGGGGGCTAGGGAGGAAGTGGAAAAATCATTAAGGTTAAACTTAAAGCCACAGAGACACCAGCCCATGAAAATTTAGTTTTATAAACATGTCTTCGTCCTCTCACCTTCTGTAGTATTCGCTGTTGTCGAGATCTGAGGCAGCACTGTCTCTACAGGGAAAAAACAACATGTAAAAAAATGATGTACCATCCTCTCAAGGCTGTTTTTGTCTGTAAGCTTAATGAAATACTTAAATTATTATTTGCTCCAGTCTGCAGCTCACCTGACCCTTAAATCATTCCGACCGCGGTCTAAAACTGCTCTGTGCATAATTGTTGTTGTTGTTGTTGAAAGCCTCAAGATAATGAGCACCTGCCAGGTACTTATTATTACATCAAACCTGCCAGGAGCTGGTTGCTGCGTCAGGGAAACTAAAAAAGATCTTGACTCAACAAGGTGACTTTTGCAAATGCAAAGTTGTTTTTTTTCCTGAGTCAAGCACAATAGGGGATCCTCTGCTCAAAGTTAAGATTGTTAAGATAAGAAACTGGTAAATGTCCAATCTGGAAACAATCACACATCGATTCACAGGCCCCACAAACACATCAGAGTGCTATCGAACTTGTCTTCTCACTCTTAGTAAATACGTTCTGGGTACAAACAGACAGACAAAACTAGGCTTCAAGTGTTCAAAAGAGTTCGTACCTCTGGAAGAGCATCTCTATGAGGTTTGAGGTTCCAGTGAAGGTTCTGTATGTGGAGAGGAAGATCCTGCTGTAGTCCTGCTCCTGGCAGCCGGGGTTAAGGAGCTGATTCACAAGGATATCCAGGGTAGCGGCCTTCAGGCGCCGCACTTTGCAGGTTCGGTACTGGATGAAAGCACAGCTCGGACTTGTCTCACCCGGGCTAGGGGAGGAGGGGACGGGCTCCCGGCGCAGGGTGACCCCATAGATCGCCCCGGCTTCATACTCCTCACCCCACTCCTGCACTGGGTTCTGGGCAGAGAAAAAGGTTCGATGCACAAATGAATACTCACAATGAGGGAAGATTACAGGTGCAGGTGAAAGACACACAGATATAAATATAGTCATGATACTGGTCACAACAGAAAGGTCAGCCTGGGCCATGAGGGGTTTAAAATAGTAACAAGCCTTCATGATGACTCTACGCTTACACACAAACACACCAAGACTCATACTAATCCCATGTGAACCCAAATAACATCAGCTGGTGAATTTTCTTTTGTACACTCAACCTGTTCAACACCTTTTCTAGAATTTGGAATTTCAGATAAATGTTTGTGGATAATCGAACACATGGTAAACAATATCTAAACGTCCGAAAGCTTCTAGATCAGAAGTTATAATATAAGAGATTTTGAGGTCTCCACGCTGACACCAGTGACCCTCATCTTCTTTGAACTTACAGGACTAAAACTGAGAACAGGACAAGCCTTGTTTGATCTGAATCATAAATATTCATCAGCGTTTGAGTGATTGCTTCCCAAGAGGGCTCAACAGCACTTGATACAACACACAAAACCCTCGATAAAGGGGTTAATCAATGTTAAAACCGAGCAGGACAAAGGCTGTCGTGCATAATATAGTACATCCAAAGGGCCTGCGAATAAAAATGCAGATTTTATCTTTAAGCGTTAATACGATCAACTTGTTATGATAAAAACAAAGTCAAGACATTGCACCTTTAGAGTTTAAACATCTGTCGTTTCAATCTGAAATCATAAATATTTAATCTTATAAAGAGACAGCCATAGAAAAGTTGGCAATCATTTTACTACAATATTTGAGTAAATAATAATAATCTCAGAAACTGGGACTGAGATATCCTACATTTCCCATCATGCAACTTTCTGAGTCTCTTTCCAAGAAATTACAAGGCTCCTGCAAAAATCACATAGCCGATTTCATGGGTGGAGAAGTTAGACGAGTAACAGGCAGGTTATGACTGTGTGCTCCAGTCGAGGAAGTGTCCTGTAAATGCTGAGGGTTTGACTTTTTGGCAGCACACACACACACACCCCAGTAACATGATTTGCATTACTCCTGGTGAATCTATCTGCTCAATATGCAAATTTTTTACAAATCATGGAGGCCCTGGAAAGCAAGTGAATATTAATGTGTATCAAAATCTTTTTCTATCTGTAAAATCGTGCATTATCTTTTGCCTTAAACTGTCTTATCTGTGTAATGGTCTAACAATGTAAGACTAAAGTTACGTCTTTGAGCCACTATTGCCTTTTCCTTAATTTCCAAAGTTCATATCACCATGAGATGACTTGCAACCTCTTATTTAAGTGATCATGTAAAATCCTTTTTCAACAGATTCATTGCTGTGATTGTCGGTGCTGATCGGTATCACACAGCCCCCATTGTTCCTCACAGAAACTGCATTGTTTTCTACACAGATGGGAAACTGTGGCTTGTGCCCTACTGTCAGTCAGTGGCAGTGAAGCTAGAGGCCACTTTAAATCTGAATAAGACTATTTGAGACGGCTACATAACATTTAAAGGTTTATCTGCTGGAGACAGATTAAATTTACTGCTGTCAATAAAAAAAAAAAAAGGAAAACCAGAATAGACTCTTCTGTTTATAAAATACAGACTCATCAACACAGCAATACAATAGATTTTTAACCTATTTCTCAAGACATAGCATAGAGTTTAAGCAAGATAAAGCCAAACATCTGCTTTATTTTCATCATCATGGATTAAAATATAACATTTCAATACCAGTTAAGCTCATGTTTCTAATACTAGGGTCCCAAACTAAGTCTGTTTCTTTCTTTGTTTGTTTTTTTCTTTCAGGAGATTCTCACAGATAACAAACCACTAGAAGTAGTTTCACCAGATTTGCTGTTGGAATAATAAAGATGACTAATAACCCAAGCGTTTAGAGATTAAGATCTGTACTCAAAATATGCTCAGAAATCCTCCAAGATCTATTTGCAACATATCAAGAGTGAGCAGCTTTGATTGACAACATAAAATTGGAGGTCTAGTTAAATTCACACATTGATCTGTTCTTTCTGTCTTTGCTCATATCAGACGTTTTTCTTACCATAGTTAACTCCCATTTTCCCATCTTGTCTCGTCGCTTAGGGAGTGTCGATGTCCATCTTCACAGGAATTGTTGGACTGAAAATCAGAAGAGTGTAGAGCAGCGGATCTGTAGATTTAAGGCTCCATCTTGATATAGAAAAAACACTTTTTAAAATGATCTTTTTGGGACTACATCTGCGCTCCTGGAATACAAATACAAGACGGTTTTCACTTCTCAGGGTGCGCTACATTTTATGGACGCATATTAATAATCTGACGGTCTATCCTTTGTTCAGATGGAAAACGACGAGATTTAAAGAGTTCCCATTTGCTTTCTCCAGGCAGTGACAGGGTTTCTATCCACCGGGACTCCTCAACGAGTTATCTAAGCGACTGTGGACTGCTCGATAGAAACTCACGGGGGTTTGTGGTGGGAGGAAACTTTCAGCTCCAAGTGTTGACTGTAGGAGGAGTGAGAGGAGGCGTGTCCACCTGTGTGTGTGCCAATACCACCCACCAACTCTCTAATGCTTAAATTACTTCATTTACATCTAATAATAAGACAAAAAGGGTACTTTAATCGCGTGGGACAGGAATTGTGTATCACCGTTTGTGTAATCTTTGTTAACATTCAATCAGCAGCAGAGCCAGGTGAGGTCAGGAGGGGTCATGGCCATACTAAAATATGATTGGCTATCCCCTAGAGGCCGCCATGAAATCCTAAACCATGATTGGCTGTTTGACTTATTATACGAAACGTTCATATTAATTAAACTATCAGCTATTTGGGTTGTTTCTTTAGGGTACAAGTAGCTTATTTGTGTTTGAAAGTGTTAAGTTCATCAGATATTATAACTCCAACTCTTTTGTCTTACACTTTATCTAATAAATAAATAAATAATAATTATTATTATGGTTAAAGTTAAGAGAAGCAAACTTGAATCTGGATTGATTATACATGCACCAAGTTACATCCTCCAAACCTTGTTGAAATCTTGTCCATCTTTTTGCTTGATGGACATCTGCATCTATACCCAATAATGGAAACAAAAACCAATTAAAAAAACAAAAGCTCAGTTAAAAACAAGGCCTCCTAATTGAAGGCCAATTTCATTTGTCATAAGAAACCCAGACAATACAAGAACCCTACAACATAAAATGAGACCACAAGGACTCAAATAAAAACATGAATAGGTAAGAAAAAGAAATGTAATAATAAAAAAGGGGGGTAGAAAGCTGGAAAAAATCATATTAAAATAATAATAATGGTAATATTAATGATAAAATGGAATAACATAAATAAGCAGAAAAATAAAATAAAATACAATCAATAAAAAGCCTAAAAGGTTAAATAAGAAAAGATTATAAGTAAAACAATGGCTAAAAGGACAGTAAGTCTGAATAAGATAAAGGTAAAAGAGTTAAAAGAGAAAAGAGAAAAGACGGTATCACATAAAAGCAAGCCTGTAAAAGTGAATTTTAGCCACCCCTACAGAAGTCTGTGCCCCAAAAAATCTGTCTCCACGACTGCGTAAAATATGTAAGAAATTTGGTTGACGTGAAGAGAAGCAAACTTGAATCTGGATTGATCATACATGCACCAAGTTACGTCCTCCAAACCTTGTTGAAATCTTGTCCACATTTTTGCTTGATGGACATCTTCAATAACCAGATATGACTTGGCCTTGACTGACGGTGGCACGCAACTTAACACTTCAAAGCATCTGTTTCAAGCATGGCGAGGTTTAAAACTACGGCATCCTTTTTAAATGATCATAATTCAGATTTTTTTCTCTGACTATAAAGTGGTTTGTCATTAGAAGTAATTAAGAAATATAATATTAGAGGAGGCGCTTACGCTTGAGGACTCATAGGCAGCCAAAGAAATATTTTGAGACACATGAGACGGCAGGGAAAGTGGGTCAGCTTGATCCCCACTGAACTCAAGGATCCTTCTGAGACCTGTTTCAACCACACCGACTTTTATAGACCTGACCTCACTTTCTCGAAGTAGAGGATAGACACAGCAGATCAAAATAAACATGCAGTGAAAATAGATCGATGTTATCTAATGTATAAGAAGCGTTCGCTGACGGCCCCAACTCATGTCATAAAAACTCCGTCTTCAACACTTTATGTAATTAGGCTACTTGGTGGCTTGAATCAGGAATCCAAAGACCTTAAAGTATGGCTGACACATGGTGGTTACAGGCGTGTAAGGAATGCAGACGAGCCATCCTTTATCACACCATCACAAAAGACAAATAACATTTCGAAATCTCTGCATTCACGAGTTTTATGACAGGGGCAAAAGCCATTACCGTGTATATACTTTTCTAAAATTAATGATCAATAATCAAGAGTCAATGAAGCAAACGGCTCTGCAGGGGTCTTTAAGCTATTTCAGCTCCTTCTTGCGGTTCAACAGACAAAATTGACACTTTATCGTTAGTCTCAGACTAGTCTTTGTCACACCTGCATCACTACCCTGCTGTTTTTAGGTTTCTTAGGTGTAAACAATGTTAGCAACTAACTGAGGAACATATTGGAGCACTTTACAGCTACACGGAGATGTTTCCTCATCAACCAAGCCAAAGGGAGTTTGCTAATACTCGAGTTGCTTCATCTTCAAGGTGTATAAAAACAGCTTACTGTTAGCTTACAGCTCAAGTTGGATTGACACTCTGCTGTGCTGTCACTAAATTGATAACAAAAGTCAATTAGCAAAGGGAATGAGAGGACCTTTGGTTTCAGGTGTGATCTAGACTCTTGTATCATTCAATGGCATCAGCGATCCACTAGTCTGAGTTCAACACGCAAATCTTTGGTCATTGTTACAAAAGCTCTGCCAACAGATCACCTCCTTTGATTTGCATGATGTTAACCTGTCCACACGGAAGAAAAGCGGTGAAAATGGAGACGATTATCGTTACTGCGCATCTTTCTTCATATTAAAATGTCCCACATGGAAAACACGCTGACTGTTTCATAACTTCTAGGCTTGCCAAGAACTCATGTCAAGTGCATACCAGTCACCTTCAAGGTCTTCGCCACTCCTGCTGTGACTGCAGCACTCAGGCTCTTCAGGTGGAGACTGGAATGTACAAAAGCTCTAACTGGACGACGTGCCTTGGGAGCCACTCAAGACCTCTGACGCAAACTAGCTGAGAAAACAGCCTCTTTTGTGATTCACGGCCCGAGTTATCGCTCTATGTTTGACTGTAAACAAAAAGATTCAAAGCTTTCCTCCATGGGAACGCTAATAATGCTCATGACCCTCAGCGTTTTAATTGAGTTGAACAAAAGTTATAAACTTAACACCAAATGATCATAATCTTTGAGAGAGGTGTGGCATTATGTGATAGCGGACATATTTGACCCTTTCTTTTTAAAGCTCCCTTCAAATAAACCAAGAGATTGAGTCTGGGTCAGGGGGTTCAATAAAAATTCTTCAGTTTCGCAGATAAATTGCTGAGCAAACGTATGACTTTTGTTACATACTGTAATAAAACATCATTACAGTGTAATAGCCACACTTAGAAGTAACTTTATTGACAACAAGACTCGTCACAAATTAAACCAGGAGGAAATTTAAGGTGAACTGTCAAACTATGAGAGTATACTTATTAGTAGAGCTGTTATTGATTCAGTTTCCAGTCAAGGTGACGAAATAATGAATCATCTAAAATTCTGTGGATAGACAGACTAGCTGGTTAACCCAACAGGCCTCAGTCGCTTGGTACGACCTGTAGGGCAATTGAGAGTCTCTGAGTCACCTCACTGTCATGGCATGAAGACAGCAGCATTCAAACATTAACACATTTGCTGAGGTGTGTTTTTATGTGACCCATGATGAGAAAATGATGAGAATCTGAGCAGGGGACACTTACATAAAGCCAGCATGGCAGACTGATTGGAGATAAGTCACTGGCTTACACTGAGAGCAAAGTCAAGTTTGATCACTCACTCCATCTAGTGGTCGATTACAGAACAGCAGGGTGATTTTTTTTTTAGCCCTTAGTCTCACTGTTTAAGCTTTTAGCATGTCAAATTAAACTTCATTTTAAAAAGATGGTTTAAATTTTCACATAGGGGATCTTTTTTTTTAAATTGTGAACAGCCTACAAGGTACACGATTACACTTTTGTCACTCTTACTAATACACAAAATCCATTTTTCAGAGCTTTATCTTAGTTTTTGAACTGGGAGGGTTGAGTCAGAAGTAAATACAAAGAAGTAAAAGTTACTCTTTTCCCCACCTACGAATAAAAACGTGATTGAGGACTCATTAAACATAATTTTGAACATAAAATGGTCAAGTTTTTAAAAAAAAAAGTGTTTCGTAGGTTAAAAGAAATCCTCTGACACAGTAATTTACAAAACTACTTTTTATTTCAAAAACTTCCTTACATCAACTCAAAAGCATAAAAGATGAAACAATATGCTGTCCACCTGTTAAGAGCTCGCCTATGTCTGTCTGCATGGGTATAAAGTTAAAGCACGAAACACAACAGCACACAAGAAGTAAAAACAAAACCTCACTGTATACAAGTAGAAAACAAATGCCTTTGGTAACACAGGGTTTGATATTTATTTATGTAAAATATAAGATTATTAAAAAGACACTATGGTAGGGATAAAAGAACTAAAGTTATACCTGATCTTAAATCGATCAGATTTGAACTCTTAAATATTAGAAAGGAAACGACTCTGACCGCATCTTCCATAAAACATGGACAACATACTTAAAATGTGTTTAAAGTCCAAAAATAGTTCAACTGTAGCCCTTCAAACATCTGAATGGCAGACATAGTGGATAACTCAGTTGTCCGATTCCTTAGCAACGGTGGGTGACATCACTGATTGTCACATGCGGTCTCCTGGTAACGGATGCTTCAGGTCTAAGTCCAAGTTCCTGCTGAACCAAACCACAGTCCATCTGAACCCACTGACTTGCCTTATGAAGGCTTGTACCACAGAGGGAGGAAGAGTTTTACTCAGCAGGTGGAGGCTTGTTCTTCTTGTTCAGGACTTTGCGGAGGCTCTCAGGCATAAGGTAGGGCCTCTCTGCACTGCCGTCGTTTCTCTCAAGATCCTCCACTGGAAAGAGATTCAATAAAGGGATGTTTAACTGAGGTCTTTAGTTTTTTTTCCCCCTCCTAATACACGACTGTAAGAGCTAGATTAGTGTATCCTTCAGTTGATGCTATTTTATGGCAGAACCACATGGTTTTAAAGTAGAAACATCAAAATAAGCTGCAGCTAATCTTAGAAATATCTGTTGAGACCAGAACAGAAAAAATGAAGTAGCACCAGGAGTGTTGCACACTGATGAAGGAGCCCTTATGGTCATTGGGTCTGATTACATAACCTATGAAACGCTATAGACACTTGAAACAGTGAGTTAAAGGTGCAAATATTGTTGCAAGAGGCACATTAACAGCTTCAAGTTTCTATTGATGAGTGCCAGAGTTAACTTCTTAAAATCGATTTTAAAAACATCATAAAAAACCTTGAAGAAAGCCATTTACACCGTTTTTTAAGACACTTGGTGAAACAGCTTGTCAAACACATTCAGAAACATAAAAACAAGAAGAAAACTGAACTGAATTAAACTGTTACTGAGAAACAGTGACCGGTTATAACTAACAAGCTTATTATTCCAACATTAAGGCAACACAGCAGTAAAAAAAAACAGACTTCAGCTTTTACATTTTTTGCTGACACCTTCATTCAGTTGACCTTTCGAAGTAAGAAATGCACACTTTATTAACAGCATGAAGTCTGAATCCTGGGATAAACATGTCGTGTCAGTTATGCCACTTATTCTTTTTCCTCCTGATATTTTCAAGTATTTCCTGTTTAACATGTTTTTTTATTTCTAAACTGAAATGCTGGAAGGTCTTTTAAAAGGATCTAGTCAAAGCAAAATTTGGTTTTGTTTCCTAATGTCTGTAGTTAAATCATGGGTCTTTATATAAAAATCCAACACTCCATGCCATTTTTTTGGTATTTGTATGAAATCTTTTGGTACATATTAGTACTTTCATAACTTTCATATCAAATTGGATAATATAATATCACATGTTTAACACTGGAGTATGAATTTTTGACTCTTTTTGTTTTGTTATGTTTTCTCTGAAGTTTTGAAAAATCTACCACAAGAGATCCACATTGTCTCTGCATGCGGGGACCTGCTCTACATACAAAGCACCAGCTACTTCATGCCATAGCTTCAGATAGTCTTTAACAATAAAGTGATGACACTATCTCCCCAAAAAGTCCTCTTCTCTAAGGCTGTGTCCTCCTCCTCCTCCTAGAGGTCTTCGTTGTCCTGTTGCTGAGCGGAAGACGAAGTCGGCTCCTCAGCCTCGTTCTTCCAAAGAATCTCATGTAGAGTGGAGGACATGTAATAAGGTCTTTCAGCTGAACCATCATTGCGCTCCAGGTCTTCGCCTTATTGTGTTTGTTTGTTTTTGTGTATTTTCGTAAGTGTTAATGGATAGAACAGAAGATTGGTAATGAAATCAAGGTTTGTAGAAAAGGTGTTAAAGCCACCGTAAGAGGAAGAAGAAGAAGAAGAAGAGATGGTGAAAAGTGAGAAGGGAGAGGGGGAAAAAAAAGGAGGGAGAGACAAAAGGAGAGAGGGTCAAACCGCAAGCAAGCAAAAGGCACCCACAGGCATTTGAAAGTAAACAGTCCATCAACATTCAGTGAGCCAAAGACTGTTATGTGAGATGGTAGTGATATTTCTTTAAGCTTGGCATACCATTAACTCATGCAATTTAGAATTAGTGACAGCCCAACACCAAAGCAACGCAAGGTTTAAAGAAGAAAGGCACATTTTGATTCAGCTTTTCATGGAGTCTTTTCCTTTGGTGCGGCGTTATGTAGTCCGTAACGTGTCAGATGGACTTATCACACAAACGACAAATGATCTCTCAATGATATACAACATGAAGACAACAGCTGTACAGGAATTACTTACAGAAGCAGAGGAAGAGTGTGTCCACACACATGGCATACACGCTGAAGAATCCGTGGGCAATGAGGTACGAGCCAATCACCACAGTCTGGCGAGGACGACATCATACATGTTTCATTCATAGCACACATACAGCGAACACGTGTTTTGATAGAGCACAGTTTTCTCTTAAGGAAAGACTCACCAGGATTGGCACCCAGTAGTAGTGGAGATGAGGAGCTGTATCCTCAAAGGCCTTCACTCTGCCGGAGAAGAAGAAAAAGGCAAAGACTCCTGGGAAAGAGAGAGCAAAGACGGCACGCTTTAGAAGTCAAATCATGGTATATAAGAGCAGCTAAAATCACCATAGAAACGCACTGTATTTACAAAATATTGCAGTCAGTGAACAAAAAGTTGACTTATATTTGAACATTGTCAAAGCTGCATGTTGAGCCAATTGCACCACAATTAAACATCACGCTTATCTTTGACAACATCCACATATTGTACCACAAATATGTAGAGTTGAATTATGAAATAGTGTAGTATAAGCGGTGTAACAGCAGTATCATCAGTGTATTCAGTCAAAAAATTAAAAGCAAGATAAAAAGTAGGTGAATATTCAGACTCACCTACAAGTCCCACGATGAGCAGTTTGCCCAAAAACAAGAGAAAATCTGTCACTTTATCCAAGACAGCAACCCTGAGAATCAAACACAGTTATTTATTGATCCTTCTTATTAATTACACAAATGTTTATTAATGATTGAAGTCTCAAACACCCCCAAACTCACCTTATCATGTTTCTCATGAGGAGGAAGAAGGCGTCTCTGGCAGAGGTGCAAAAGTTTTTACCATAAATCGCCACCTAGAGGCCAAAAACACTCATTACAAACAAATACTTCAACATGCCAACGAAGCACATTCATAATTTAGAGCTCAGCTGAGTGGACAGAAATAAAGAAATAAAGTGCGCACCATAATGTAGGCGTTTCTGTTCAGGAACTTGATGCACTTCTCCAGACACCAGAAGCAGCACTTCAAACAGCACATCAGGAATGTGGCAAACTTGTTTTTGGCTCCTGAGATAAACACAATTGTTGTTAGAATTTACTTTAAATCATTTGTCCTGTTTAATTAACGTCTATCCCAGCTAATTACCCTTCAAACGTAGCTATCATTGCTTTTCTAACTTTATCTGAAGATAGTATCATACCTTTCAGTTTGTGGTCCAGATACTCGAGCAAAACCCTGATGATCTGTACAACTGAGAGAATGAAGGCACCGAAGGCGAGAGTTCCTGTATGATACCTAAAATAAGAAGAAAAATGACTTAATAAAACACTCAAATCACAACATACAAAAAAGATAAAACTGGTATAAAAATAAGTCAATACAAGCTTATGAGTTTGACTTTCGCACACACCTGAGAGATCTCCCCAGGGCAGAAAACACAGGGAAGGCAGGCATGTCATCAGGCTTTACGAAAGCCCAGTAATATGAGGCAAAGGCCCCAGCCAGGGTCATCTGTCCCAGAGCGGTGACAAAGTTGGCACACCAGAAGAAGAGGAAGACATTGTAGAACTGCAGGCCGATTAGGTACTTGTGGTAAACCGTTTCTCCCCCGTAGAAGGCAAAAAGGCACTCAGAGTCTGGGCACAGGTATTTCATCGGACTGGTGGAGAAATTCTGTGCACAAGTACAGGTAAATGTACAATAAGGTCAGTTTACAAATACTATATCATCAGTGATCAAAGATGTCTGGACTGGTAACTCAATGAGAAAACTTACTGCAGGGTTACACGTTTTTCTCGAGTGTTCACAGTCTGTCTCGTTGAAAACTTTGTAGACCGGTTCGTTTGAGGTAGACAGGAAGCTGATCAGTGTCGTCAAGGACAACAAACATCAAGACTTAAAACTGCAAAAAAAAGGAGCGACTCCCTCATCCCCAAACTTTGACTTCAATGTCCTGTACAGTGTGTGTGAAACCATAGTGACCTTGCCAAGACCTCACTTTACAAAATTAAGAATTAATCAAGTCCTGGAGCGGTCCCATACATACTCTATTTGAAACAATTATTTGGAGTATGACAGAGTGAAATTTTGTGTTAATCCGTTAAAATAACTGAGGTCTGGGGTCCGATCTTAACACTGTTCAAGTCTGACATGTAGTAAGTAATACAAGTCTGGAAGTCCAGGTTTTTGGACTCAGTTCAATTCTTTTGTTCTTTTTTATTTGGTTTTCATCATTTTCATTATCTGTTTCTCCACTATTCTCACAATTTTGTAGCAAAACAAAAGGGGCAAATAAGCAAACAGCACATTATCTGGCAAGGCGACGCCCATCCTTTTGTTGACAACCTGCTTCTCAGTCACTAAACGTTTTATCTAAAAATAAAACACTGAACTCATTATTTAGACATAAATATTGATTAAATCAGTGACATGGTTAACTCTAGAAAACAACATCATGACATTGACAACCAGAAGTTGTAAGGATACACAGCTGTAACTGCCCAGTAGGCGATGACCATGGACAGGAGGAGGAAAGTGAACAGTGGGTAGAAAAGGGAGGACATGACATGACCGATAGCTCTGTAAATACAAAAGGACAGATTCTGTTATAGATAATATATTTATATCTTTGGATTAATTCTCAAGTCTCCCTTTAAAGGTGCCTACAGCTGTAGAGGAAGTCTAACCTGCTCGCTTCTTTGATGAGAGCAATAGCGATCAGTACCCTCTTCCTTAGGAAGATAAGCAACAGGATGATGATGACCTCCAATATGGCCAGAATAATCACTGCAGGGGAGAGAAAGGGATGTGATTCGAGTGTCTCATTAGTTTTCTGTTAACATGTCAGAATCTTATAAACATGTAAATGGACTAACTGAAGGCCAGCCAGGTCTGTCTGATCTGCAGGTACACTGCGAAGTCTGTCTGGAAGCCCAGGTCTTGGAGAGTCACATCAGCACCCGGCTCTCCTTTTAGAGCCGCATACTCCATGTAGCAGTGGAAGATACCTGAACAATAGTGACTCTGAGTTTATAAGTTATAGTTACAGATCTAAAAAAAAAAATCAAAAAAAGTTATAAGTGAAGAAAAGATGTATTAAATTACAATCAAAATAAGTTTATACTCTCAACCAAAACCCTCTATCTACTGGGTGCTGATCTGGCTTGAGGTGAGGGTGACAAAGATAGTTACAAAAGTTTACATGCATTGCATCTTACCGTATCCTATGACCGCTATCACCAAGACAATCATGATCCAGACCATGATTCCTGCCAAGAATCGCAGCAGGATGATGAAGAGAAGACTGGTGACCATAGCGATGACTAGCCCCCTAAAGAGTGATGAAGGCGTGAGGAAGAGGAGGAGGAGAGGGAAACACAAAGAGTGACTGAGTGCTGAAATTTACTGTCAGAGATTATAAATGTTTACAAACGGAGGAGAGTGACTTACAGCAGGATCCAGTACCAGGACTGTGTGTAGTCCTCGAAAATCTTCATGACCACCTGACGGGCTTCAATGACCACAGTGGCGTTCCTGCAGGGGGAGTTAAGCGTTTTATTAAGCACCATAGGATGCAAAACCATGCAGCAGGCTAGGCCACAGCTACTCTAAAGCTGTGACACACTCCTGAGGTGTACTCACTTGACCCCGTCAACAAGATCCTTGGCATTTAGCGTATTTCCGTTTCCATCTTCGAAGTGAGTGTGATTTCCCACAGTGATCACGCTTCCTTTCTGTCCCAACGCAGGGAAACATCTACGAGTGACTAAAGAAAAGACAAGGACAGTTTATAACTTCAACAAAACATGAAGATAACTGTTATCATTTTTTTTCCTGCTGACAGGAATCTAACTTACAGGGCCGGCTCGGGGTCAGCATGGCGGGACAGAGACGTAACCTGAGGATTTCTGGGATACCCTGAAAACACAGTTTATATCATCTTGAAGAGCAGACAAACTCAGGCACAGAAAGAAGAACCACAGAGGTGAAGTGTTTGTTTGAAGCACAGTTTGCTTTAAACTCACCATCGAGTTAGTCACACCCTCCTGGCAGAACTGCTTGTAATATTCAAAGTCCTTTTTGTTTGTGTAGGCTTTTATTAAAGTCATGAACTTATCAGGACATTTCTCCACACACATCTGGGAAGAGAAACATCCACAGCAGGAAACAGTTACACAAAAAGCATAGAAGAACATGCTAAGACACATGAGAAGCTATTGAGATGTCCTAAATCTAGAACAGGATCCATAACATCCCAGAATGAGACCAATCAGATCCTGCACCTCCTCTGAAATAAGCAAAATCTTAAAAAAGTTTAATAGTGTTTAATGTTCCATCATAGAATAGGGAATAGGGAAATTTTTTTGCCACAGCAGTATCACAGACAAAGATAGTGCAAAAATGCAGTTATAAAAATAAAAATAACGATCGTAAATTAAGAGCTTAAATAAATGTTATAATTAAGAAAAATTTAGAAAAAAGGAAAAAGGGGGAAGAAAATAAAATTATATACAATATTCACAACTTAAGTACAAGAAAAAAAGAAAAAAGTGGTATGAGTCCAGTTTTATTACAGTTCGTTGTAAAGTCTTATTGCAGAAGGGAAACTAACCACTTCATCTTCATCTAACCACCTAAATTACAGGTAAACCTTCTGTTTTCCACCTTGTATAAGTTTAAAATTACATTTATCCAAAAAAGAGGGAGAGAGCGAGAGGTCAGATCCCAGTTTTGTGCAGGTTACATGAGCTCAATAAATGTTTGATTTAGCACAGCAAGAGGGAAGGCGACAAAATGTCAAAAAAGGCAATCAAATTCAGTCAAACTCAGGTAGAAGGTGGTGGTGATAGCAACAGGTAACATCACAAACAGCAGCAAACATGACCGTAAATAAAAATGGCTGTTCTGTAGGCTGTTGTGGACAAATACATGATTTTACTCATGTTCTCTGCTGTGCTTCTGTGTTGTGTTGAGAATCACAAAGATCAGTTGCAAGTTTGGATGTTGTTGATATCCAGGAGAGTAAATGAGTGGATTTCATACCTGCGTCGTTGGACATTGGAACTCCAGCAGCACCATGGGGCTGGCGCACTTCATGATGTTGAAATAGAACAGCAGTGGCTTTTTCCTGAGAAAGTATAAACAGAAATAAATAGTTACATAGATAAACATCTGATCATCTTAGTGACTCACAGGAATAATAAAAAACATTATCTATCATATGATACAAGTATTTTATTAAACATAAAAGGGGATAAAAGGGAAACAGCCATGATCTATACTGGGCTTGCAGCTTACTCAAGAGGGGTGCCGGCGTGCCCGCAAAACTGACCACGACTGTCAGTGGGATAGATCACCTTCCTGGGGTCACCCTGGGACCAGGCTGGGAACATATTTAAAAAATTATTTTAAAGAGAGGCTTCAGAGCGTGTTTTTAGATAAACCCAACTGCTGCTGCTGCTCACTTACCAAGTATCCCAACTGCAATATAACCCAAAATGGCGAGGATGAAGAGGATGCAGCACACGATGTCTGTGCAGCCCCTAAGACAGAGAGTGGGAAAAAGATTTCAGAATATCTCTTCAGCATCTTATACGCAAAAGTGTCAAAGTAAAAACTCCTTCTCACCTGTTGTGGAGTGGACCTTTAAAAGACGGGTCATACTTCCTCGGTTCGCCTGAATAAAAGACAAACAAATGTTTCACTCAGGGACCAATGAAAGCGAGGGATATTACAATAAAACCAAAAGAAAAGACTGTGAAGATAGGTGAAAGATGGACGAGTTTATTTTTATATAAAAGGATTAAAAAAGCTACTGTGACTTTCTAAATGAGAGTTTTTAAGGTTATGACACATCACTCCCCCTCCCGCCTCTGTCAGATGACTTTTCCCTCAGGCAGACACGCCTAGCAACACAACAAATTCCTCCCTGGTGACTAAGCAGTAAAAGCCGCAAATCCATGTCAAACACAGAGGCAGCATAATAAGACACGCATCACATTTAACAGAATCATACCAACAATATCATATTGTACCCCCCGCCCAAAAAAAAAATCTTTTTTGGAGTGTGTGTGTGAACTTGAATTTAAAGCCAAAACACAATAAAAGTGCATCTTTATTTTTCTGCAATGTCACCTCTGATCACATCATAGAGCAAAATTTGACACCCATCTTATCAGAGGTTAGACCTCATAGTCACTGATTTATAATAACTCCTATTTGATTAAGGTTTGAATTAATCTGTTGCATTTTGAACTTCAAACTTGAATCAATGATTGAATTTGAGATTTTATTTATTCTGCATGATTTTGTATTTTTAATATGCTTGTCTTAAGAGTTCACTTTAAATTAAAGATGCACGGAGTAAAAGCTAAAATAAATTTAAAAGAACTATAACTGATATTTTATGTTTGTATAACATCCTGCTCTTTTTCTAGACAACAGAGAGATTCGTGTCTGACAACATTTATTCTTGCACCCAGGACTTTTATGTCATTGTGCAGAATAGATCAACAGACTCTCTCTGGTTTCTTCTCTTTTCAGACTGGAAAACAGTAATAATTTAAGCTAGAGGCTTTCTGTGATCAACATCACTTAAGAGTTCATGCTGAACAATGAAACACACATGTTGATTGGATTCATGTTGTTTTGAATTTGCATTTTGTATTTTCTAATTACAAAATGACTGATTTTGTGCTCTACTTAACATGCTCATGCTGTGGCTGTTTCCCTCCCTGCTGCCACGTTATGGAGGGAGTTTTAAATTCTGACAGGCTTTTGTACTTTTGTTTTCTGCTTATGGAAACTTCTATACACATAGATATTTGGAAAACGTCTGGTATTAATGTTGATTCCCTACAGAAAGAACAACGGATAGAGGAAGCAATATAATTGATGACCCATTTGTGACCGTAGACATAATGTTGACAAGCCAAGGTAACCATTAGCTTGTAGCATGCTCCATTAACCTCTTACCAAATGTGAGGAAATACTCATATTTGCTGTTGTCTGAAGAACTCAAATAAGAAAATATCTCCATCTAAATCTCACAATCAATTATCTTATTATAGGCTGATTCAAGTGCAGATTGATGACAGTGAGTGAACACAGTGACTGTTAAATCATTGAATGGACACCAGGGCTTTGAAACCTAAGTGGTTTTTTTTTTACCTAATGCACACACACACACGTAGCTTTGGAGCCTCACATCACCGGCCTAGACAGAGAGGTATTATGCTCTCTTGCAGGCAAATGTGCAGATCAATTATTTATGTAGTCCAGATGATAACGGTGTAGGAAGCATTTAGCAGACAGGCTCAGAGAAGTCACAGCTTCCTGTTACAAAGATCAGCGCGCTTTCTGTTTGTCTTGTCGCTCTGATGTGCATCCACGTTTCACAGAGTTAACTGCTTTAAAAATGAAGTTTATCACAGACTCTAACATGAGAGGCAGAGATAAGGCTCTGTGTTCAGCTGCTTTATCTGCACACAGCTCACTGGTACTTGTGTTGGGGAAAACAGTGAAAAAAGAGCCCTGTGCTCTCACACACCTGTACAATCAGCAAAGCTGCCAGCAGCAGGTTCTCCTCACACACACACACACACACACCCATTCTACCCACACAATGTTGACACGTCGATACTGCTCCAGTTTCACTTAAAACAAATTTACATACCGGATGAGAAAGATTTGCTGTGACAATTTTAAAGGCTAAGTTTAAAGACAAACCAGTCATCCCTGAGTTTTTTTTTGACCTTTCTAAGTTTGACCCAGAAAGAGCGAAAGATACAACACAATGAAAAATTTAAGCAAAAGGCGTTGTTACCATGCTTTCCAAAGTACTCCCCATCCTCTGGCATGTTTTAATCCTTTACAAGGCAAAACTGAAATGTCCTGATCAGCTTTTGCACTCTTTTCCCAGCATGTAATTCAGTCCTGTCTTCCTCCTTAAATACAAATGAGTGCGAGCATGGGGAACTCAGGTATTGTGCAGAGAGAAACCAGTCCAACCTGTCCCTGAATAGCTGTGCTCCACCTCACCCCAGACGTCCCCTCTGTGTTTATCCTGAAGCTCCTGCCTCTTTCCAATCTCTGCCCCACCTGTGCATCTCTACCTGTCTCCTCCCCCGACTGAATGACCCTTCTCTTGCTGTTTTTCCACATTTTGTATTCCCCCAAAAAAACGTCAGTAGATAGAGACGAGTCTAGCGTTTAACAATCAGCCGGAAAACTCGAGTCAAAGCATGAGGATGTTATCAACAACATGTGTTTGGAGTAAACAGGAAAAGTACCGCCTTCAATGTAGCCTCCGGTGGTTGTCTGCAATCCTACTGTGGAGGAGGACTAATTAGAATCAGATGTGCAGAGCTGTAAACACTACCACATGCAAAATTTCACAATAGTCAGCTGTGAAACTGGTCATTTTGAAATGTTAAATAACTGTTTGGACGTCACCCTTTGGATTTTTTTTTTTAACAGCACATTATCTCTAGGAGCTTTATGGAATCACTATATGAAGTAAGAGAGTAATTATCCTCCCACCTTGTGGAGACATAACAGTACTACACCACAACTTCGTTTCTAAAACTCACATCAAATTCATCTCCTTCTTTTTTACAGCTTCTTTTCTTCAAGCTTTCACAGAGTTAAAAGTTAATATCCATAGATCTGTGGTCAACAACCACTGGCAATCAAAATGGAAGCGCAAGTTTCCATCACATCCTTGACAAAGAGTCTACAGAAGGAGCACTACATACCACAAATGTTTTTCACAGATGCTGGCTGAAACAGAAAATTGCTGGAGCTGAAATGACTAAAACTTTCCATCCATTCTGTTCTTGTTTTGAGGCCAATTTTCCTTCTTTTTCAAGTGACCTTTTTTAGATGCCAGTACTACTTATGAGGGAATCGCCTGAAGTCTTCTTTTCAGTTCTGGATAGAATCTTTGACGGTCATGTGTGTTGATCCCGAACCTTCAGTTTGGACCGGCCAAAAGCAACTCCGACACATGGGACCACAGAGTGAGCCATGTGAGTCAGTATTTATTTATGTTTGTCCTTCATTCTCTAGGAACATTATGAAACTGTTTTAAAGGCTCTGGAAGAGGATCTAACCTAATCAAGACCGGCTCTCTGTGACGACACAACCCAGAGCATTCACTAAAATCATTATAGAAGATTAACAGACATTTACTACACATGTAAGAGCTTTATTCAAATACTCAACTGTCTTTTTTTAGCCGTCAAAAAGGCGACAATTTACAAAAGAAACAGCATTTCTGTTGTGCTTTGTGTTTTAATGATAATTACATGAAGAATGTGTCAATTTATGAGGCTTCAATAGGCTAAATAAATTGTCAGCAACAATCAGTGCAGGTTTGTATGATTATTGATGATGTTTTGGAGAGTATCGTTTTCACCAACTCAGAAATAAAAAATGAAACTGAAACCACAGCATGTTTCTCTTTTCTTCCGTCACGGTTTTCTACCTAAAGTTGCAGCTTTGACTTCGTAGGCGGTCACATGTGCTGTTACATTCCTGATTTTCTCTGTCTCATTATCTTACTGGGACTCTCATCATACTCAGTTTTCAAAGATATACCAAAACGCCACTCTATAGCCACAAATAATGCTCAGAACAGCACCTTAAACTAGTTACTGGCTTGTGTTGACATTGCTTCTCTAGTTATACCAAGTTTAGTAACAACCGCACAATAGCAATACACAGTGGTCTGAGGAGCCATAAACAAACCTCAACCAAAACGCCACTCTATAGCCACAAATAATGCTCAGAACAGCACCTTAAACTAGTTGCTGGCTTGTGTTGACATTGATATTCGTGTTTGTCATTTTCTGACATCTATAGCATAACCCAATGTGTTTCTATACTTCATGAATTAATTAAAATAAAAAATAAAAAACATGTCACTAGGCATGTTTAAAAGGCTGTACTAGAATAAAGACATTATATGTGACTTTTGTTTGTTTGTTTGTTATTTAACCCAAATACTGTCCTTGTACTTCTTCTATGTTAATGATTACAGATGGAGGGACAGAAAACCCAAAAATCCCCTGAGGTTATTTTTTACTGAGCCAACATTTGTTCGAGAAATGTTCATGTAAGTTCAGAGATTGCTTAACTTGTTGTGTTTACAACTGCATAAAATATATTTGTATTAAATATCGGCCAGCCTTCTCTCTCATTATCGACATGATCAATCAAAAAACTACCATTCGATTGTTAGTCACTGTACCAATACAAATAAATGGACCTGGTATTACTTCTTCTGCTGTTGCTGATGAGATGGAAAATTGTTCTTTTTGCAAGCGTGCTACGTGATGAACTTCACTTTAGCTCTGCCTTCAGTTGCCCTGTCAACTTCCCTGTCCTCTGCGGACACCTTTCACATGTCTCTCCTGACTAGCCTTTAGCTGCACATCTTGTTAGTTTGCACATTCTGTCTCCCGTTTGCATGCTGCTCTCATCACCTCCATCTAGACATTTAACACTCCCCTCTTCTGATTTGCCAAATGTGGGAACGGGAAGTTGTCTCGCATCATGATATATGTGTGCGCTCACTGAGAGATTTGGTATCTCAGACTGTTTGTTCAGTCTGTTATTATATCTGCTCAATAAATTTACGAAAAAGACAACTGGTTGACTCAGGATCCTTTATTGATTGCAATTGGAAGACAAGTTTATTTCCAAAACACTGACTACTTGATTTCACCTGTGCTTCTTCTTCTCCTCCAACTATGTGTTGCAAAAAGGCACAAATGAGTGATATCTTTATTAATCGTCCATTAAAGCAGTAGATTTTGAGACAGTCATATTAACCTAAAATAGCACCGAGTAAGCAAGAAACAGAATGATATAAGTCATACTTACAGTAAAAGAGATATGGTTTTACTTTTGTTTCCCTATTAGTCGGTAAAAAGCAGGTGGGAAACTGCTGTCAATAATCTGGGAAATCCATTAGGGTATTTGTTAGACTCTGTGACAAGCATGTTAGAAACTGTGGTTTTTCTTTAATGACTGAAATATTTACATTTACATGTGAGATATGACTGTATGTCTTTCACTCTCATTTCCTACGAACCGAAAGAAGCGAAAATGAAGGTCAAATGTAAACAAAGGTCAACAGAAGAATATAACCCCCCTGGAAATATCTGCTTTGATCTCATTTCCAAGTAACACAGACAGCCAGACCTCCACGAGGGAGTGCTGCCCTCCCTGCCCACCTCCCACATGTCTTTCATTACAGTAAGAGGGTGTGGAGTGCTCCAGGGAAAGTTCAGATCTATTTTAAAAGGAAGCTAAACCACTGCAACACACACAAACCTGCTGCATGTATCACATATGAAGATGTATCCTCACATCAGACATCTATATGTAACCGTTTCATAATGTCAACAAGCTCTGCCACTAAGAAAATAAGCCCTTTTCCAAAACAGGTTTTTATTTTTATACCATTTTTTACACAATAGCAGGATATGGTTCTTTATCAGGGAGCACACAACAATGGTAAGTCTACTTCCAAAAACATTAAGGTCTTATCTGTATTGTGACACAAGTTGTAGCTATTTCTCCGGCTCACACACAAAAAGTGAAATCAAGATCCAATCCGTACACATGCGATTTAGATTACATGAAGCAGACCAAAGGTGGAGACCAGGAGGTAGATCTATGGTTGTTATCTTGATCTGATCTCCATATGATCTCAGTTTGGTGTTCCTGTTAACAAAACATTCTTCACTGATAAGGAGTGTCAGTCAGATCCACCAAGATCAGAAAACACTGCTACTGTCTAGAACAAGGAGTGACTCATAGGCCTTAACCAAGAAGATGACTCTCTCTGAAGTTGACTTCCTTTAGCGTCTCACCACACCGCATTTATCTCCTCTGTCTACCAAAACGTACTTTCCCTGTCCTTAATAACCAATCAGTTTCACACAGCTCTGAGCATGCCTTTGTATTTCAGGCTGGTTGGCAGACAGTTAACAGAGTCACATGATCTTGTTTGGGTTAATTTATCATGTTAAAAAAGGAAAGGGGCGCCTGTAATGGCAGAGATGCTGAAATGCTGAAGAAAACTTAAAAGGAAAAGTGGATTAAATCTGCAAATGTGGCTTAATCTGACTTTAACAAACTGAGGGAAAAGAGAGGAGGGATTGGAGACAATCTTCTAAATATGGCTTATAATTACACCTAATCTACAGCAGGGCATGGCTGGGTGGCTGTTTCCAATCCTGTCATTGAGGTTTCCCCATATATCCAGGCCTGAAATTACTCCAAACTTCTGAAACAGTAGTGACTCCTACAGTGTATTCTGAAAAGTCTCCATTTTTAGAGGAGCCAAGGATGTCAGAGCGAGGCCCTGTCTCAGAGAGGACTGGAACAAACTCTGGGTCCAAACAAAAACTCTGAGTTTTCAGTTTTAGGACAGCTGATTTGACTTACTTCGATAAAGGAGGTTCACTTTTAAAAGTTAAGCAGGTGCACAATGACCAGAAAAAGCCAATATGGGTACAGCTCCTGTACTAAAACTCACTACGACAACAGGTGGCAAAAAGAGGTCTGCCAACTTCCCTTATGTGAAAATACGTTTGTTTAGGAATAAAAGAAGCACAGCTGCAGCAGCAAAAGAAAGACAGAAGCAGGCAAAACCGCAGCTTATATACTACAGGGGTGAAATGGTACAGATGCTGAAATTCCTTTTTAATTAGGTGAACTGAACAGGTGTGAGGAGGACATATGCAATCTATCAAAACAGGCCAGGCTTGGACACAATAGGCTACCCCAGCTGTCACGGGGTGGGAGGAAGGGTATACCATGGAGAGGTTACCAGTGGATTATAAAGGGGGTAGGGCTGGGGGATATGGGAAAAAAGTTTATCACGATAAATTTTTTTCATATCAGTCGATATCGATATGAATCACAATATTACTCTGCTTCATGTCCGACCTCAAAAAAACAAAATACCTCCACACCACCGACGTTTTTGTGCCAGTGTTGTCGAGGATGTCATCATCTATCGAGCCTTTATCTGCATTTCTGCCGAGGGTAACACTCATTTTCTGTCTTTCTCACCAACAGTGCTGTCGGCTTCACGTGTCAAAGTGCTATGGTTGCGTGTAGCTGCAGCCTGCTACTACGCAGTTGTTTGCTACTTGGTTCTAATTCAGCACATGATTTGTATAGTCTAACAAAACATGGCAGAATGCCAGCTAGTGAAAAACATATTGACCATGTTTTATATTGACATTGAGGGAAATAAATTTTCGATATATATAATTACCGTTTTATCGCCAAGCCTGAAGTTTATGTTATCATTCCATTTTCATAATATAGAAAAAGGTGTACCATTTTTAAAAATCAATTTCCAGTATCTCTTTTTGCAGATTTGGTTCCAGAAATCAGGAGCAAATGGACAGGCTCTGTGTTATGTTGGCATCACAAATAAATTTGAACTAAATTCAATACTAGTCCAGCTCTGCAAGTCACAACCAACATCTCTTATTGGTCCTAAACAACCACATTCAGCTTTTTTGTCTGCTGACCCTGAGTCAAGCTGTCTGAATCCTTTGCATTCTCCTTTAATATTCAACAATTAGGCAGTAAATGTACTGCACTGACTTTGGTTGGTGATGGTAATGGAAGGCAATTAGCCGTCATGTGGCAGGCTGAGTGGAAAAGAGAAGGGTGTGTGCGGGGAAGACCAGGAAAGCATTATGTTGAAGCTACATCAGAAAAGTGCTGGGCTGTTCCTTCATCAACATCCTGCGAAAACCAAACATGCTCTAAAAACAAAAAAAAAAAAAAAAACAGAGGGTTGGCTGCCAAATACCTTTCTTAAAAAAGTGTTTGCATATGAAATACATGGATTAAAGCACTCTATGGAACAAATATTTGAATTATCTAATAAAATCCAGTCCATGCAGGACAAAACAAAGCACAACAGGGTGTGTCACAACTTACTCACAACATTTATGGGAGATTGACATAATTACAGAGAGACAATACAACATAAACAACCACAGGCATGCTTTTTTAATAGCTATAGACATGTAGAAATTAGATTCACAACTATCATGGGTCTCACGAGTCTGCCTGGGTTTGCAATGAGGAAAAATGTCACTACCAAGTGAGACTGACAGCATCTAGTCGTAAAACATAGACCCTCTCTGCGTGTTTGTGGTCTTTTCAATTAATAAGCTCTATACATAGCTGGGCGTAAACTAAGCTCCCGATGCCTGCCATACCACTCTGAGGAATGTAGCAGCAACTGGACGAGCAAAAGATATACTGGGACATTGTGCAGCCTGACAATGTACGAGGCAGTGTGTACCTAAATTTGACCTGTTTACTGCAAACAAGATAGACTGTTACTTATCATTGACACTGTGCATTAAATCTGTGTTTGTGAACTGTACTAGTAGTAGCCAGTAAACAGAGGCTGCGAAGAATGTGCGTGAGAGAAAGTGTTTCGCTCGGACCTGGTAACTTTAAGAGGTAACAAAGGACTAAAAGATAAACACAGCAGCGAGTTAGACTATTATTTGCGCTCTTGGAAGAGTTTGCGCAAAACAAAACCAGCAGTTTTAATGTGAATCGATAGAGTAGCCAACTTTCCCACACAATGAAGTGAAACGTCCTCGGTTCGAAGTTAAATTACATACCAAATTTCGATTTCTCCTCCAGCTCCATCGTTTTCAAGAGTGATTTCTGAAGTATAAGCGACGACTACAGCATGTTTCCAAGCTGGACAGAGGTTTCCGAGAGGTCCTTCACTCAACTTCAGGACTTGTGAGAAATCCGTTCAAAGTCTTCTTGACTGTGTTGCTGCAATTTAAAGGGAGATTTCTTAGAGGAAGGGTGCCGACCAATGAGAGTGCAAGGAGTGTTGACGGACAGGCCTCTAAACCAATCCCTGAGCAGAGGCGGGACTAAAAAGTGCAAGCGACCGCATTAACTTCTTGTGCCGTTACACAGATGTGATTGTCACACTGTGGAAGTAAATCTGTGCCATCCTGATTGTGAATTAGAATTTCTAAAGCTGAATTTTCTTTTGCATCAAAATCAGACTTTGAATTTTAAGCACACATTGTTATTTCTGACAGTTATTTTTTCACAATGATAATAAAATTCAGTGTTAAAAAATCAGTCTCTTAAAAATATTTGTTTAGTACAGATTTACTTCCATATCACACTGACTGACAAGCAAAGGTTGTCTAACCAGCTTTTACAAATTAGTACAGTTTGATTATGTTGATTATGTTTTAATATTTTGGGGGTTTTCTTTTATATAATGAGACTGCAACAACAACTTGTTGAAATATTCACCAAATACAGAAATTAAGTTTTAGATTCTCAAGGAATGTCAGAAACCATTGTCTTTCAAAATTATTAAATGAACCCTACGCTATGGTAATAATCAGGGGTTTTAAAACTATTAAAATTCTGTAACTTCAGGCTACCTGCTCCTCAGGGTTGGCCACCTAACATTTTATTTACCCATCTTGACTGGCTGGAATGGTGACAAAAGTGCCAAGGAGCAACAAAAACAAAGGAGTTTGAAGGAGCTTAAGGCAAATCTTTAACATTTTCAACTTTTTGTTTGCTGGTGCCCAAATAGCAGGTTTCCTCTAACTGGTTTACAAAGCACCTCACTCTAGCTTGCATGAGTACCAGCAAATCTTTTTTTCTGCAATTCAGCAACTGCAGCAGCATGCCCAAAATGGTCCCTTAAACAGGTAGAGCAGCTAACTTGAAGTGTCATAAATTGGCCCAGGGATGCAAATGAATCCCTTTCCAGCTGCAGCAGCAAGCTTTTGCGTAGTTTCTTCAGGAGAATATCTGAAGCACCTCACTCCAGCTGTCCCACTTGTCCCCAAGGGATGCAAGTATGTCTCTTCCCTGAGATCACCTGAAGATATCCTTCATCATGATCTTACAAGCTTGACTTCTTCAGAATGAATTAGTATGACCACCTGTGATAGCTCCCTCTTGCTTCTAAACAAGTTAATACATTTAGGCCAGTTGTATTTGGAACCACAAGGCCAATTTTTCCACCCTGACAAAAAGTGTTCATCCTCCTACTGAGTGCTTTACCCTTGAACCAAATAAAAGATTTCCAGGGGAGATTTTGTCTCACACAGACAATTTCCTGCTGCTTCCTACACAAAGAAAATGAAAAGTTTGGACAAGGTTGAGACCTGACTGTTTTGAAGTTACTGAGGCTAGTCACTTCAAAAGGCTTCATTTTTTTAAATATAGCTTCTCTGAGTGATGTTAGATGGGAATGTAGAGACCAGTAACAAATGAGGATTAAGTATGGGTGATCCAGAAAAAGGTTAACGTATACATAGTAAGACTTCATTTATTTAAAAAGATGTAAAGTCTATATTTATATGGATAAGTATATATTTTTGTGCATGTAGATAGATTTGGATAAGATACAGACATGGATCAAGTACAGATTCTTCTCATTCATTATTTTATTGTATGATAAAGTGGGTGATAAATAAACTGTGATCACTGGATCTCTTTCAGTTTCTCTGCTCCAGTAGGCTGGCCCCATTTAGGTGTTATGACTCAATATTCTGAACATGTTTTTGTTTTTAGAATAAATGGTCAAAATTAACTCTCTAAAATTGTAAGAATAGACATTTTATTTTAAAAAAAATATCCACTTGGGACTTACTTTTCCTGGTGAGGGTCCTGCTACTATTCAAGAGCTTGATTTAAAATTTTATAGTTATCTTTTAAAAATACCTACTAAAAAAAGGTCAATCAAAACAAATCAGATGTTGGCAGGGAAATGCTTTTATACTGCTCCAGTGACATATGTTTAGGCTCACTCCCTCATTTCTTCCTCTCTTTCATTTGGGTTCTCTGAGTCCTCAGATGGTGTAAAAAATGAAACATATCTCACTGGGAACACAGAAATATAAACAAAAGATGTGATAGATAAGTGATTTTTTAAATTCCTACATGATTTCAGGGTTTTCAACTTATGAAGGCTCCTAACGGGCATAGAAATAAATCTGTCTGTTTACCAACATGGACATTCCCTGAAAAAGCACATTTATTGATGTTAATTTAAACCTAAAAAACGTAAATTTGATTTTTTCCGTATTTTTCTTTTACATTTAAGTATATAACATAAAGATATAAAAAGAAATCAGAGAAAAAAGCATTGATAATTTAGCGCTGTATTCACAATTTTCCTTCAGAAAACCCAAAGTTTCCACAACTGTTCGTATTTGATTGCAGCGGGTATAAGCGGGCTTGCCCTCAGCAATATGGCGAACGTACTGACGTAAAGCGGCAGCTGGCGTCTCCGGAATCCACCCCCCAGCTTGGTTCGCTGTACGTAATGACGTCATGTTGTATCCTGACGTTCAGTGTTGCTGCGCTGTCAACCTGAGGAGCAGAGAGTGCATATCAGGACGAAGGTTGTTGTGTGATTGATTATCACAGGTAAATTAATCTTGTACGTATTTACAACCTTTCTTAAATCATGAAGCTGAGCGATAAATATCTAGTATGTTTGTTTTTAGTATTAAAAAGTGAAGACAAACGTCTGTTGCTCGCTGTGGTCAGTTAGCACTTTTAGCTTGTTGCTACAGGAGAGTAACTCAATACTAAAGCAGTTTGGTTGAGCTAACTGAGCTTGGCTGCGTACTACGGACTATAACACATATCGATCACATATTTAACTCATAAAGATGTGACTCAAATGTGGTAAATGATGACTTACAGAGTAATCTACATCATGGCTTTGAGAGGCGCTTTGTGTCGGCTCCTGGTCAACCCTCAGAGATGTGCGATCATCTCAGCCTCCAGATCACAGGGAACCGCAGCCCCTGCCAGACATGGTGAGTTTTATAACACCACCACAGCCACAGATTTTATGGTAATTAAGGCAAAGGTTTACCAGCAATATAAATGGTTGCAATTTTTTTTTTACCAAAGTAGATTAAGTGTCATTGGCAGTCCGCCATCATAGGGAGACTTTCAGCTGTATTTGGCACAGGATTGCCTGTAATTTGATGACAAGATCACAGAAGAACAACATTATATTGAAGTTTTTCTTTCCTGATTCAGATTTTCTCCCCCCCAAAAAGACTTTACCATCTTACTACCAATATCATTTGATGTTGTTGACAAAATCATTTCTAAAATTTCTCACACACCACTAATATTTTTCTTCGTTAAATCATCCACAGATGCAGAGAAGACTGAGCAGAAGTCCAAAGCACGTAGGTGTTAACAGCGCCTTGTTTTTTCAATTGATCTTAGAGGTTATTATTGTAATTGTTGTTAGTAATAATGATAAAAAGAGAAAATTTATCCTTTAATATATTTGGTTTGTGGTTTTTACATTTTTAATTTGTCATTCCATGCAGCAAAGGTCCAGTTCAACTGGCGCGATGCCCTGGATCTTGAGGGGCAGTTGACGGAGGACGAGATTATGATTAGAGACTCCTTTAGGGCCTACTGCCAAGAGAAGCTCATGCCTCGCATCATTATGGCAAACAGAAATGAAGGTGAGAGTCAACACCCATTCGTATCACTTTGTTTTCATTTGTAGCCCCATGATACCTTTGAATGCAAAATGTATAGTTAAGATGTTTTTATTTAACTTTTGCAACGCATGGTTTCAGATTTATGAATTAACGTGGTGCACTGATTTGAAGTAAAGGAATATGAGTCTCCTGAAGTCCTTGTCTAACAGCTGGTTGTGTGTGTGTGTGTATTTTTCAGTGTTCCACAGAGAGATTGTTTCAGAGATGGGAGAGCTGGGTGTCCTTGGCCCCACCATCAAAGGTGACAAAATGTACAATGTTAATCATTTGCTGCAATTATGTAACAGAGGCAACCACACCTCAATAGATTTTGACGACCAAAACAGAAAGTTAATTGTCGAATTTTATAGTTGCCATAAAGTTTCTGTACTTTGATGGCAAAACAGCCACTTTTCTTGAAATCAATTGCTAACTGAATTGGACTTTGGCCATGACTCAAGCTGGACCTTTGCATTGTTTATTTTTGACAAACCGCTTAATTTTGTCCAGTTTTAGCCCATCAAATCTGAGTTTATTCCTCGACTTAAAATCGTATATATCCCTTCAAAGTGTTTTCTGTAAAAACAATGAAAGTAATCCCTCCTCTTTGCAAAGGTTATGGCTGTGCTGGGACGAGCTATGTGGCCTATGGTTTGATCGCCAGGGAAGTAGAGAGAGTGGACAGTGGCTATCGTTCAGTCATGAGCGTGCAGTCATCACTGGTCATGCACCCCATTAACGCCTACGGTACAGAGGAGCAGAAGCAGAAGTACCTCCCAAGGCTGGGTAAGAAGATCACACCTTTATAATTATAGATCGACTTCCAGCTTATCTATCATAAATGGATAATGTGGGATGATATATTGATAGTATATCACCAATGACCAGGCTTGTTCCCTTACTGTTTCTTCCAGCTCAAGGAGAGATCCTGGGTTGCTTTGGCTTGACAGAGCCGAATCATGGTAGTGACCCCAGCAGCATGGAAACCAGAGCTAAATACAACCCATCCAGTCGTACATACACACTCACTGGCTCAAAGACCTGGTGAGTAGCAGACACTTACACAACTCTGAGACACGTTTCAGGAGAGAAGCTGAAAAAATGCATCCTATTATGGAAAAACTGTGGAAGTCAAATTTCGCTCTAGAGAAGGGCTGCAAGTCATGATTTAAAGGTAAATTCTGTGCAACAGCAGAGTACTAAAGTTTGAACTATAAGGAATAAAATAGTCACGAAAATCCTGTTTTATGTTTTTCATCATCCTGTTTCTCCATCTGTCACTTTGTTATTGTCATATAAACCTGAGGAAATAAATACAGGACAACAAATAAGGCTATTTATCACACACAACCGCACGAGCCAAGATTATTTTTATCCTCTGAAGTCTATTTCAAGGCAGTGTGAAACAGTCAACAGAAAACAGTGTCCCTATGGCAGATGAAGAAGATTAGCAGTGAGGTGAAAAGTTCAATGAAGAAGCAGTATAACTAACACTTTAAAATAAGAACATGGTTTCAATTGTAATCTTCATTTCATTGTCATTATTCTGAATAAATTTCCTTTAAACTGTAACTACACAAAAACAAATGATGTATTGTAGAGACCTTGCTCTTCTTTTTCACATCATTTAATTATTTTGTGTAATATTTACATGTCAAGAAAGGTTGTTGTTTTGTCTATGGGCTCCCCATGACACAAGTTGTCCACAAGGGGGAGTCCTTTACAAATTAAAGCTCTGCATTTTTGCTAGAGTTTGTATGGGAAGTATTCAGTAAATTGAGCACTCTAATGATTTCAGATGTTACCAGTTTTATTCTTATTAATTTCATGCAATTAAATATCTTCAGCTCACTGATTAAAGTAACATCTGTAGCAATATTACAGCATTTCCCTGTGCTTTGACCTTCAGGATCACTAACTCCCCAGAGGCGGACATTGCTGTAGTTTGGGCCAAATGTGATGATGGGAAGATCCGAGGTTTTATTTTAGAAAGAGGTATGAAGGGCTTCTCAACACCTAAGATTGAGGGCAAATTCTCCCTCAGAGCCTCTTGCACTGGTATGATCCTTATGGACGAGGTTGAAGTCCCAGAGGAGAACCTGCTGCCTAAAGCCACAGGCCTGGGGGTGAGTGCACCCAAACTATAACTGTTTAACATATTTCTCAGTATTTTCCTTGTATGATATAAACGTCTGTATCTTTGTTTGCTGTGTCTCAGGGCTCCTTGAATTTTAAAGCTCACACAGCAGTCTTTTGCTTGCTTACTTCCAGGGTCCTTTCGGCTGTCTAAACAATGCTCGTTATGGTATAGCTTGGGGAGCTCTCGGTGCAGCAGAGTTCTGCTTCCATGCAGCTCGACAGTACACACTCGACAGGTCAGATACCCAAGCTTGTGTGATATCCGTGTATCTAGATTTGGTTCAAGGTGTAAAATTTGTGATGGTCTCTTGATTGAAATATCCTCAGTTAAACAAAGTGCAAACACTTTTTAGTGTGCTCTGTGCATACATTTCCATGTTTGTTGGATTATTTTAACAGTAAGAATAACGCCTCTGGCATAACAGCTCATTATGTTTTTTTACTACACCAGAATCCAGTTTGGTGTACCACTGGCACGGAATCAGCTGATGCAAAAGAAGATGGCTGACATGCTGACAGAAATTACCATCGGCCTTCAGTCCTGTCTGCAGCTGGGAAGACTCATTGATGAGAAAAAGTAAAGACAACCCTTTTTTCTATTTTTAGCAATACTGTTTGTCAAATCAGAAATGTATTTTCCCTTGTAGTTCCCCCCAGAGTCATGTAACTATTTAGTACTTAGGCTTTTCGGCGTTTATTTGCGTCGCATCTGTTAGAAAAGTGCTTTTTATAAATAAAGTCTAATTGATTAAATGATTGAAAATTCTGTATATCAAAGAATCATGCCATGATCCTTTCAATGAAGGGTTTAGGTAGGGTGACCATACGTCCATTTACCTGGACATGTCTTCTTTTTGGGGGGCTGTCCGGGCTTGTCCGGCTTTGTCCAGCTCTCAACTCTCAAAATTAACTTTGTGCGACTCAATGACTGCCCCCACGTAGCCGTGTCCTCTTTTAACCAGAGATGGCCACCATTATCAAGAGATGATTTAGGCCAAAAATCCATTTTCATCAAAAAACGACATAGGCCATTATTTTGATTATTACGTAAAGATATTCCAGCACAGACTAAAGTAACACTTTGCGATGTTACTCATAGTGGAAATCTGTTGATTCTTCATAGAGCCGTCCCAGACATGATATCCATGCTGAAAAGGAACAGCTGTGGCAAAGCCCTTGACATTGCCAGGCAGGCCAGAGACATGCTGGGGGGAAACGGCATCTCAGATGAGTACCACATCATCCGCCATGTCATGAACCTGGAGGCCGTCAACACATATGAAGGTTAGAGGGGGGAGAAGTGGGTTTAAGGGGGATTAAAGGGTCTGTAGTTTGTAATGAATCATGCATGCACAGTTGGAGTTGTATGAGTGTTACCCACAGAAGGTGCAGACCCTTGTTTGAGAAGCCTGCCAGAGTACTGGGATGGTGGCGAGGCTACACACAGCTGCAGACAGGGCTGCTTGAACCACTTAATGTAGCTCATTATAAGAACATAGATGAACGAATGAGTACCTCAGACAGCTCCACTTAAGCAAAACTAAACCATCCTCTTGTGTCTGTTCATTCTGTTTCATGTCTGTTGTCTCCTCTTGCAGGCACTCACGATATCCACGCCCTGATCCTGGGCAGAGCCATCACCGGCCTGCAGTCCTTCACTGTGGACAAATAAATCCCACTCATACTTCCACTACAAGTCAACAGGGAACTTCTGTCAACCCTGCAGCTGATTAGAATCGCACAATTTTAACTGCTCAGTGAAAAATGTTTCTTTCCACACAGGTTCGGTGGTCTGTATATGGAAAAACAAGATCAAGTCAAACGTAGACTGGTGTGAAGTGTAATTTATGTAAAAATAGAGTTTTACAAACAGCTATTTTTCTATTCTCAATACCAACAGACATCTAAATCCCATGACTCTATCACCCATCTGTATCAACTAAGTCAAATGCACTACTATGGAGACTGTTTGATGCTTGAACTAGGGCAAGATCTGACTTTGTTGCTGCTCACTCACAGTACATACTGTAATTATAAAAGATTATCGCATTTAACAGCAACTACATGTTTGGAAAGTCCTGTGATGTTTTAATTTGATCCAGTTATGCCGGAGTTGTCATATATATTTGGTACACTCTCACACTGGAGACAAGATCAGTACGTTTTGTTTTGTAACCGTAGAGATTACTCATGGCACTTTACTCGCCCTGTCTCTAAGATGCCTTGACGTTGCATGGTTTCAAGGATGTTGATCTAAGCGTTAATAAAAGTTATTTTAAATTTCCAGGTTCTTCGATGGAGTGAAATGCATTATGAGCTGTTAAAGAGTAGCCATAGCATAATCACAACTCCTTAACTGTGGTGGAGTAGAAGTTGCAAGTGTTGAAAATGATATTTAAATAAATAACTTAAAATTTAAACGGTTGTTGTAAACAGAAAAGATCAGTACAGGATTTTTCTCAGTCTTTGTCTGTAATCGCTCTATTGTAACCCAGCTGGCGTTTGTTCTCTTTCAGCTGTCGTGCAGTATTTGAGCGAGTGCATTCCTGATAATCCTCCTCTCACCCGATCGCAGTTTGACCCCAGGTATTCGCCCATTATCATGAGATCAATGGAGAAGATGGGAAGATGGCTTTAGTGTCCGTAAATAGTCACAGAAGCTGAAACTTGTTCGGCTTTGTTGGATGAAAGCAGGAGGCTGGAACAGAAGGTTTACAGAATTAATACAGAATCCAAAAACAAAGATGGTATAAGCATTTGCAAAAGTGAGATTAGTCCTGGATGGTTGAGAGTGGTGGAGTTTTGAAAAGTCATGAAGCCCCAGCTGTATGAAGACAAGACAGGTAAATAAGAAACTGTAAATTGTCCTTATCAATAGAGAATATTAGTCTAAGTTACACAGCTTACCACATTACATGATTTCCCAACATGGGTAGTCAGGGCCCATCACATCCACATGTATAACTGGATGTTACAGTTTACAGACTCAGGCTCCATTCTTAAAACTTGCACAGTTCTGATACTTCCTCCCCTACCACATGACCCCTGGTGTCCCTGAAACCCAGACCACAGCAAATAGTCTATTGTGAAAGGATGAGAAGAGGATAGAGAAGGCAGAGCAAGGGTGAGAAGACTGTTAAGGCTACAGATCACCCCCATTAGGTTAGGCTGTAAGCTCTAACCCCCCACTACTCCCCTTCTTCAAGGAGGGATGAGAGACATGAAAGAGATTAAACAGAGAGAACCAGATGATGGTAACACCTGTAAAATCGAATGCTGTCCTATCCTTCAAGCTCCACAGATCCCTCCAGCTAAGTTTCCTCTTTCTATCCCTGCTTAGCCTGATCCAAATGTAACTACAATACCATCCTACATTACTGTATGACTTAAGTAGGTTTTTTTGGAAACTTATCAACTCAACACATCCAGATTGATTAGAGACTGAAAATACAATTGACAGTAGAAATCAGTTTTCAAGATAAAACAATGATCAAACCATTGGCCTTAGTCTAAAGCTAAATTTAGTATCCATCCCGTCTTTTAGATATGATCCTTAGCCATGAAGTAATTACACGAGATAACAGTTTCTCTCTTGTCAGACAAAAAACAAAGATTCATGTGGAGTGAGCAGCATTTGGGTGTCAAGACAGATTAAGAATAATAATAATAAGAAGAACTTTATTAATCCCCGAAGGGAAATTCAATTGTCTGGTATCTCACATAATATGTCTCCAAAAGTTATCGACTATTTACACAAGAGTTATAAAGTCTGATGGCTGTTGGTACAAAAGATCTTCTGAATCTTTCTGTCCCGCAGCAAGAGAGAGGAGCCATGCACCACCGTTGGCCCTTTGGTCGACGTGTTACTTAATAACACTTGCAGATACTTATACCACATAGACCCCTCCTCAATATCACAGACAGCTCGTTTTATCTTTAACTTGGAGCAGTACTCTTAAAACAGTTAAAAGTATGTGCTGTAGGTGTGACTCATAAAGCCCCATGAAAATCAGCATTAATAACAATAAGTGGAAATGCTTAATCAGCATTTCCACTTAAATATAGATGATTAGGGAATATAACATGGTAAATTGGTTTGTATGATTGAGATGAATCTGATAAATTGGTGTTGCCGTGAGAAAGTAAAAAACAGAATAAAATTGAACCTCTTAGTCGCCTTTAATCCGTTGTAACAGCATGACAAGATAAGTTGCTCTAAGGGTCTTACAGGGTCAAAAATCTATATTAACCCCTGCACCTCTAAAGCTATAGAGTCTGACCAGCTGACCTTCGCACACAAGTCAGAGACACCACTCAGCTTATGTCACATTATGTCCTGGAGTAAATCATAAAGTCTGTCTCTGTAATTTTTCCTCTAAATCCACCCATCAGACACACACCACCCTTTACTTTTGGTCAACTCTGTTAAACGTGTTTTGTCTCAATGGTGCCTGAATAATTGATTTCCAGCCAGACGACTTCTCGGTAATTCAGTGGAATTAAGGGCACGGCGACAGTGGCGTACAGCCCCGTGTTAGGCTCGTGGACTGCGACGTGGTGGAGTCAGATGGATGGGAGGTAAAGTGGGCGTGGCTGACGATTCATTGCGGCGGCTCGTGGTGGGTGCACGTCATTTCAGCACCAAGGACAGAGACGGAGACGGTACCTCTCAGGTGGACCTGAAGAGTGACTGCAGAGGAGCGTTTAGGATTATGATACAGTAAGAATCATTTATTTCAATATTAAAATTTTTAAATGAGAGTGTGGATACAAATTTTTGATTTGCTGTTGCTAAAACCCATTTTTTATTTTCTTATTTATTTTATTTCATTTTTTGTTGTTGTTGATGGTTCTTTTTCTTGTTTTATTTGCAACAAAAAAGTAGTACTTCAATATTTAAAATCTCTAAACAAGAGTTTTGATACAATTTTTTTTTAATTTACTGTTACTAAACCCCATTTTTATTTATTTTTGTTGTTGTTGGTTTTTTCTTGTTTTCTTTGCAAAAAAAAATACTTCACTATTTAAAATCTTTAAATGAGAGTTTGGATCCAATTTTTTTATTTACTGTTGCTAAACCCCATTTTTTATTTATTTATTTATTTTATTTTATTTCTTTTTTTCTTGGTGGTGGTGGTGTTTTTTGTTGTTGTTTGTTTTCTTTTCTTTGCCAAAAAAAAAATTACTTTAATATTTAAAATCTTTAAATGAGAGTTTGGATCCAAATTTTTAATTTACTGTTACTAAAACCACTTTTTTTGATGGTTCTTTTCTTGTTTTCTTTGCAAAAAACAAATAAATACATAATTAAAATATAAATTAAAACTTGAAAAATAAAAATGATGACGATATACTAGCTTGCTTTTGTGTCATTTTGTTTATTTCAAAGGAATATCAATCTCATGTCTGGACACCAGTCGAGCTGAAGTGAAGTGAGGAGGGGAGAGGCAGAAGTGGAAAGGGAGAGTTTGTAGTACCTCAACATGAATGGATATAACATCACCAGCTTCAACTCCTCCTTCGAGTCTCAAATTTATCCGTATCCATTGTCCTTAGACGAACCTCTGTACAAACAGTTCAAGCCTCAACCCAAGGATCTCATTGCTTTGCCAAAGGCTGTGGTCTACCTGCTCATGGCCGGTATGGTAGTTGTTGGAGTTGCCTATGCAATTGTTGGACATCTCATCAAGGATCTGGCAATCGACATAGCCGGTGAGACTAATAAAGACTGGCATTGAACTTTTATTGCATCAATATTTATGTTAAAGGGAGCCAAAAGGCAAAACTCTAGGTGCACAAATGGTTAAATTAATTGAACAGTTGTTGTCCAAATTTATTTTGTCAGGTTAGCTATCATTAATGACTTTTAATCACAGAAGAAAAAGTCATTTTACTTTTCCTACCCCCATTTTTTTTAAACAACTCTTAAACATTTTTTATCATCCCTTTCCTCCAGTATATGAAACATTTTCAGTTATTACTCTCAAAATGTTTCAAGTAGCTACTCCTTTATCTACCAAAGTAAACACAGTAGACCGATAGGATAATATTTTTATCACTTTTGGCAACAATGAATTTCAGCTGTTTATTCCTCACTGTAAACTATTTTGACTGTTTATCCACTACTTAAAAAAAATACTATTCCACACATTTTTCAGGAGCCTATCTGAACTTGAGCTTATAAAGTAGGCCTACTGTTTATTTTAAGATACTGAACAACTTTAACTTTAAGCTCAAAATGTGCCTTTTACTTGTTTATTACTTTGGTTTATAGCATCTATGTCAACAAAACTATTTATCATGGAACAAATATTTTTACTTTAAACTGCATAAATGACTTAATTTGAACTTTTCTACTTCTCATTCAATACTTCCTGTCAAAATAAACTCAATTTCAACCATTAAATAATATCTTACAGCTAAGCTATCTGTTTTAAGGTTTCACTAAGTTCTTTACTTGTTTATTACTTTCATTTATAGCACCTTTGGCTAATAAAACCATCTATCATGGAACTAATATTTTTACTCATCTGCACAAATGATTTAATTTGAGCTTTTGTTTTATCACTTATTCAACACTTCCTGTCAAAATAAACTCAATTACAACCATTTCAAATCAAATCAAGTTTCATTTATACAGCCCCAATTCACAACAGTCGTCATCCCAAGACGCTTTCCAAAGAAAAAGAGCAGGTCTAGACCACGCTCCTTGTTTGATGAGTTATCAAGACCCAACCTGAGATAGGATTTGGCCCATCTCATCCAACATGAGTGACAGTGGCAATAAAAAAAACTTCCTTTTAACAGGCAGAAACCATGGGTAGGACCAGCCTAGTAACCACTGGCCTCTTGTGTTTTGAGCTGTTGTTGGTTTGTATCCTTTTAGATTGTCTCTTGGGTCCAATTGGAGATGAAGACAACAAGGACAAAGACCCAAAAGGAATGACCTCCAGCTATCCTCCTTCAGGGCACCCATTTGCCCACAATGCCTTTCATGTGTGGGACCAGGACGATGTAGTCATCCATTTCCCCGCAGAAGAAGAAAGCCCTCAGTTAAGCCCAATCCTGCTCGCAGCAATCCCCTACATGCCCTCTTTCTTCCCGCACTCACAGAGCCCAACAGGTCATGGCTCTATGAGTTTCGCTGCCAGCCCGGGGTCAGCCAAGGACATGAATACCCCCAGAGAGATCTGACTTTTTAAAAGGACCATTACCATGAACCACTTCACCAAGTTTTTGACCCTTGAGTCACTTCTCACACTTCGATGTGTGTGAACGTTGTTTTTCGATGTCTAGAAATTCCACTTTATGTTGCTCTCCTTTGTGGAGGGCCAGTAATACTGAAAAGTCCTTAAATGACTTCTCTGTGTCCTTTGCTCCAACAATTGAAATACTTCCTCCAGTTATGTGATTGAACGGATAATTGTGGCCTCATGTTGTTGTCAATGGAAAAGTCAGAGCGAACACCCTGAAAGGGGAGAAATTTCAAGGACAAATTGGATAACTAGAGAAATTGTCTCTGCGTGCCTGAGCTTCAGAGAGAAGCTGTTATGTTTGATACAGATGCAACATGTTTGATTTCCTTACAGGGTAAATAAAAAAAGTAAAACTATCATAAGTGACTTTTACGTGAGTTGGTTACAAGAGGTTGTTAGATTCGTTATCAATCTGTAGGAACAGGAGTTTAACTACAGGAAGGAATGATTCAGGGTCACATCTCTTGAGTTATGACACATGTAGATAGTTGACACTCTTAATATTTACCCCATGAGTTGTGAAAAGGCCTCAAAAGATCAGAACCTAACTAGAGGTTACTACATTACCAAAACAACAAAGTTGCTTCCAGCCTGTCACGCCAACCAGCTGGCTGTCTAGCATACTTCGGGGAAACGTTATTTCAAGACACTGAGGGATTAGTTTAAGAGGGCGACTTAACAGGGTTCCAGCATTTCAACATGTACACAAAATGGCTTTATCCCGCAACCTTTCTCACAGGTGTCACACGTACTCACGGATTTCCTTGTCTGGTTCGCTGAGCCTATCAGTGAAGCTTATAGCACAAAAGTATTAGCTTTGCAGCGTGCTGCAAGAGTGAGCTAACTACGGATACCGTTTCACATCAACTCTTGACCAAAGAAAACCACACAGCTGGTAAGACAGAAGTGAAAATGATTGAGAAATCCTTTTTTGCATCCATCAAACACTTTTCTTTACTTGAACCTCGTTACCAGCCAGCATCACTTGGCCAGCGACTACGATGAGAGTGTAGTGAGCCAATTGGACTGACCTGTCTTTGAACTTAAGTCTAAGACAGCAAGATTAACATAGTATCAGGCTGCTTACCTTGATAAGAGATGAATGTGATATTTAGGATTGAAGAAAAGCAGAGATAAAATAATCCAGGAAGCATCATCATTTCTTGAAGATGCCTCCAGAGCTGAGTTTTCTTGTCAACTGTGCCAGGACCAGAAATCTGTCAGAGCAATGTAGACATTCTCACAAAAACAGTCAGAGAAGTCATGCAGTACTAGTATTTGGAAAAGGTTTTTATTGACTTTTTCTCATACTAAAGGGTCATTTGCAGCTTGATGTAATTAAAAATGTAAGTTCCTCCTGACTTGCACCAAAGTTTTGTAATGTTGCTCAGTATTAAGTTAATTCAAAGGCTGCTCTAATTCTCATGTCCTCCGAGTATGGCTAACTGTGAGTCTGCTTTGGTCGGTTTCAGTCAAACCAAAAAGACGTGAGGTCGGGAGTCTCTCACAATGAGGCAAAGTAGGTCCATCCACAGTAATCATAACAGCAATAGAGGCTGTCGAGCCTCAGGTTTCCAGTCGACATATGGGGCTGTCGTAGACCATCTGTAGGTTCACCTTGTGTCCGACCAGCTCTCTGATGTTGTTGATGCCATATTTAATCATGGTGGGCCTGCGGGGAGAGCAGAAGGCTGAGTAAGCAGCAGTTGTAGCAGCCAGAGGCCAAAGTGTTTGGGATGAGGCTAATTCCAGGTCTGACAGGTTGTAGGAATAACAGAGGGTTGGCTGAAAGAGGAGGGATTACTCTCAAGGGATTATAGCGTCTTCCCTTGCTCCTCAGCTCCATATTTGTTGTCACTGGTTTTACCTCAAATTGAACTTTATTTAAATATTAAAGTCATTTTCTAAAGACACATCTTTGACCTACAAGGATATGTTAAGCAGAAATAAGGCATAGCACTGCCTACAATGACATATTGTTTATATTAGGTTCATTTTAGCTTATTAGATAAGGTATACTTTAATCAATCACATAAGGATATGATCCTTCCTCTTTAATAAATATTTGAAATGTGGGTTAGATGTTGGGTCAGAGGACTGATGACGTCAGTGGACAGACTAAATCACACACCTCTAATCCTTAAATGGAAAGACTTAGAGATCATTAAGGAGGTATACTTTTAACAGCCAGGGAGATATGCTCTAATTTTAAACAGTTCACAGCGCAGTCAGTTGAAATGTAGGTCAGTTACAGACTTTTTAAAACCACTGACACCACTTCAAACAGTCTGTATGTATAATGTGTTCACCTTTCCAGAGACAGTCCCCAGGCAATCACTGACACGTCCTCGGGAAGACCCATGGGCAGGAGCATCTCTGGTCTGAAGACCCCTGAGTTTCCCACTTCCACCCACTTTTTTAGTCCTGTATGAATCAAAACAAGTTACACACGGGTGATGGTACAAACAAATAAAAACACTTTTCCTTCGATGGAGAAGTTAAACTGTAGAAAAGTTGATAACAAAAGGAATTCAGTTTTTTTTCTTCATGCTTATTAGCAAACTAATGCTGGTGGCAAAGCTGTAATGAATCTATTTCAGTCATCTCCTTAGCAGGTTCCACTGACAGCTAGTTAAACTCCAACAGTGTGAATGGAAAGAGATTATCCAGAGGAGTAATACCTTCATGGTAACTGAACACTTCCATGCTGGGCTCTGTGTACGGGTTGTAGGCAGGCTTGAAGCGAAGTTTGGTAATTCCTGTAATTAAAAAAACATATATATATCCTCCTTGTATGACTTTGAAAACACACCCAAATGCACCACTTCTTGTCACATTTTTATAAATATATTTGAAAAAAAATCTTGCATAGTTTTTGGCTGTGAATTTATACAATTATAACTAATTCCAATCACATCAGTGTAGTATGGTACTTTCCTGACCTAGCTTGATGAAGAACTGATGCAGGATACCCATCAGGTCCCCCAAAGTGAGCCCGTAGTCAGCTACCACACCCTCAATCTGGTGGAACTCAGCCAAATGGGTGGCATCCAGGGTCTCGTTCCTGAACACTCGGTCGATGGAGAAATACTTGACGGGAGTGAACTTCTCCTGGTGGACAGCATTTGCATCACAGTTAGCTGCAAGACTTATCAAGCCGATGTGACTGTAGTCCATTCCACTCCTTTGACACAACCCACCTGCTGTGCGAGTTTGTACAACATGCGTGCACTGACTGCTGTAGTGTGAGTGCGGAGGATGTTCTTCTGAGCCTCCTCTATCTTCCAGTTGTATTTGTACCTGAAAGGCATCAGGATCTTAACAAGCTGTAGCTTAAAGGGATATTCCAGCGTAAAATTAATTTAGGGTCAAACACACTGTAACACCAAGTTAGACACCCCCTCGAGAGATGAATGTTGCTGACAGCGTGCTTCTCTAGTTATACCAACTTTAGTAACGACCGCAGGATAGCAATACACAGCGGTCTGAGGAGCCAGAAACAAACCTCAACCAAAACGCCACTCTATAGCCACTAATAATGCTCAGAACAGCACCTAAGTCCATCAACAGTACACATAGTGTCCCAGCCATAGTACTAGCCACCAAACATCTTTTTAACTTTGCCTAATTTCTTTAGCAAAGAGACTAAACACAACTCACCTACTCTCTTCCAGCAGCCGCTTGTTTGTAGCGAGACCTTGAGCTAGACCATTACAGACTGCTGTGGGGTGACACAGCTCAAGGAAGAACATTTATGATCATTTCTTCATGGAAATGCAATCAGACCGAGACGCTGAGGCAGAAGAACTACTGCGTCTGCAGTGCAAAATGATTAATATGATGATTATTACTTCAAGGAAATGATAAAGAAATGCTCATAAATGTTCTTCCTTGAGCTGTGTCACCCCGCTGCAGCTCGTAATGGACTGGCCTGAGGTCTCGCTACAAACAAGCGGCTGCTGGAAGAGAGTAGGTGAGTTGTGTTTAGTCTCTTTGCTAAAGAAATTAGCCAAAGTTAAAAAGATGTTTGATGGCTAGTACTATGGCTGAGACCCTATATGTACTGTTGATGAAGTTAGGTGCTGTTCTGAGCATTATTTGTGGCTATAGAGTGGCGTTTTGGTTGAGGGTTGTTTATGGCTCCTCAGACCGCTGTGTATTGCTATCATGCGGTCATTACTAAAGTTGGTTTAGCGAGAGAAGCAAGCGGTTGGCAACATTAATTTTATGCCAGAATATCCCTTTAATGTTGAGTATATGGTGATGTCTCACCCTTGTGAGCCGTAGCCGCCCTCTGAGTGGACCTTCTTCACTCTCTCCAGGTAGTCCTGTGGGAACTCATGGGCAAGTGCTGGATCTAAAAAAAAAGAGTTGTTCAGGTATATGAATGCTGAAATAAAATGAATTAGAGTGACACACTTAAAGAAAGAAGTGTTAACACACCAGACAGGAAGAAAGTGTCATGCTGGTCTCTGGCGGGGTGCTGCTGGGGCTGGAAGAGTGAGTCAAAATTCCAGAAAGAGCTCTCTATGAAGTTATTGGTCGGCATCTCTGTAAAACTACACAAAAAGAGGGTTAATGAGCGACTAAGACGAAGAGAAACAGCCTTCATCGTTGTGATGTCACCAAACACTCACCCCATTTCCAAGAAGATCTGCCTGAACTGTGTCCGCACCTTCATGAGTGGGTGCAGGTGTCCACAGTCAGGGGCTACACCCATGGCTTCAAAGTTGTACGGTTTGAATTTCTTCTCTTTCCAGCTGCCACTAAAAGAAAACACAACACAAGGCTTCAAAAAGTGTCTAAAAGGGGATAACTTCACTGAAGCAATAAGAAGACATGGTTGATTTCCACTCCTCTGAAATACAGTGCAATAATTTTGTTCAGCCCTGCCTTTAGGACGAAGTCCCCCTCTTTGGACTTGTCCCCTTTTATGGGCGGAGGTTTCTCTGTGTCCTCTGTCTGAAGTTCTTCACACTGTCACTGACAGACAGGCGAAGGCAGACGAGACACACTGTCCGTACATGTCAGTGGACGACTTTAAGAAGTAGCACATCTACTCACTTTGCAATCATCTCAGGAGTGAGATCCGTCTCCTGTTTGGTGATGGTGGTGCTGAAGGAGCTGCCTTTAGAGATCCAGTAAGACTTCACTGTCCTGAACATGGAAAGAAATACTTACAAAAAGGCACAGTGGTTCTGTATTCGACATGATATCCTGTGTGTTAAGATAATTGTTTTTTGACACGGCACTAAATCATTTTAGGAGTCGTTATTACTTTAGCATCAGAGCTTTCACCTGCTGTGCAACAGAGACTATCAAACCAGCTAAATGATACGACAAAAAAATCATCTCACAAGATAGCCACAATACTTATCTTTCATCTAAATGGCAACATATTCTGAGTATCTATCTCTGAAATACTGCACTGCTTACTTGATTAAATATTTGACTATTGTGAAAGATGGAAGGACTAAAATCCTCCCCAGATCACATCCCCATATATCTTCATATTGTTTCTGCAAAGAGTTACAAAATAAATGCAGACAGCAGGAGCAGGAAGTTTCCCTCAGTTTCAATCAGAGCTCCTCACACTTACTGGTTTCAACTTTTAATCCAAACCTTCGTCCACTGCATGAATTAAAACCTTCCACTGCCATCTCCTGGCAGACATAGTTCACTACAGTATGCGGCTTACACTTCAGAGAGCAGTTTCCTCTTCTTCAGCTCATTCTTCTCTTTCTCTTCCAGCTGAGAGCTGCTGCCTTTCTGTACCTGGAGGAGCTTCTCTCTCACCTGGTCTTCAATATTCTCCACCTAGGAAACAATGAATGAGCACACACAGATACTTATTTAGAACAACATCTACAGGTCACATCAGACGATGATCATATGTTGATGTTTACATACAGCCCTGAATATCCTCGGGCCGCCCTCGTGCGCCTTGTCCACTTTGATCCACTTGTTGGACATGGCCTTGCTGAAGCCGATCTTTCCAAAGGACAGCTTCTGCATGGGGACAAACACAAAGAGTTGCAAAAATGTAAACAAATGTCAAGTTTTGTTAATTTACGAAAATGTTCCCTACACTACCTTTATTGAATTTCCCTTCTTGGATAAATAGAGTTCTTCTTATTCGTATTATGTATTGTTTGTCCAATATTTTGATACCATAATAGACTTTTGTAAGGAGAAAATCACAGTGAATGAAGGATTAACATTTGACCATTATCAGTTTTTCCCAGTCAGACGGCAATATTCATACCATTTTTTTCCAAATCATTCTGTAACTTTAAATAAAAAAAAAACCCAGATATTTAAAAAAATTACTCCTTGGCGTTGAAGGACAACAAATCTAGGTGTCTCATCCTCAACCAGGGCAATAAAAATTCTCCGAATGCACCTTAAGAAATTCATTGACATAACTCTTTTTTTTTTTCTTCCTTTTTGCTGCATAGATTTGACCCTTTTTGTACTTCAACTCAATGCAACAAAAAAAAAGTCAGCAAACTAACATTTGTAGCAAAAAAAAAGCCTCGAGAGCTCACATTTCTACATCCCTTGAATGATGAAAATAATTGAGTCATGATTGGTTGTGGTAGATAGGGGAGAGTGGGGTAAGATGAGCCATTTTTCATATTTCAGATCACTACATCAAGGCGATCATAGTTATGTCTCTGACTAGTGTATCTGCATATATTTCAAGATGTTGTGCAACAGAATGAGTGTAAACATAACTGTCTAGACAATATTGCATGCCAATAAAAGTGGTCTCCTATGGTCAACTTACCCCAGAACTACTACTATGACTTTATGAGTCCTCTAAGCTAAAATGGTGGACTTTTATGGTAGGTTTTTGACCTCATGTTGTAGCTCACAGATACCACAGTTAATGTATAAAACAAATTTAAAATGATCTTTTTTGGTCTGAACACAATTCTAATAAAACTTATGACAGACTAAACTCACTTTCAAGAGTGAAAAATGTAACCTTCACAGACTCCATGAATTGATGCCCATCTCCTAAATATTTGGTCACATGATCAATTTTTTTTTTTTTACCATTTCCAAGCAACAGGGGGTGTCTCAACTTACCCCACTGTCCCCTAACACTACATCTATTCACCCGATGATGTTGGGGATTGTGTGAGGACTCAAAGTTTGTCCAACTCACCATGAGCTCACTCTGAGCCAGACCCTCCAGCGGGACAGAGCTGAAGACCCGGGCTTCATGACTGCCCTGCTCAGCTGTCTCCTTCCCCTCCTCTGTCAGCTCCCAGTGCTTGGATGAACGCAACTCGGCTGAGATGACCTGAACAGCAGGGGAAAAGAACTTCCGTTAGACTGTGACACCTACAAAGTTCATCCAGACAGAGTAAAATCTTCTACTCTTCAAACCTGCCGTTCATATTGCATCAGTCAAACCCTGACGGTCTGACTTCCGCCGGCTCTTAAACCGGGTTACTCACGTCGCCAAGAGCCTGCAGACTCTTCACGGCTCCGACGATGACCTGGTGGTCCACTTCCAGGACGTTTGCTGTTTCCAGGCTATCCACGCCATCGTCCACCTTCTCGATACGCCGTAAAAGCGTCTCCACCACACCGGTGTCAGCCATGCTGGAACCGTGTGAAGCTCAGAGCGGACCGGATGTGACGTCGCCCCCGAAAAGCCGAATGTAATGTAAAGTATCGCGAGATATTGATATGATTCACACGAAGTACCGTAATAACTGTTGCAAATTTTTGTACCGTCCTAAAAACAACAAACATATTTCACTAATTCACGGGTCCTTCCTGCTTTAATCAATATACACATCACAGTTCCTTACAATTTCATCAAAGTCAAAAACAGACCTCTTTAATGAAGTCAATTCACGACCGTTACTAACCGTTTTTATCAAAAAATGTTCACAAAACCAGTGACCTTCTGTGCCTAGATCATAAAACACCGCTGCATCATCATTATTGGTCCCCGGCAGCTCACTTCTGTTGTGACTTTTTATTTGCATCCTTTTATTTTAGCAATGAGTAACTTTTTTTTTTTGTTTGTTTGCATCGCCACTTTTTTTTTTTTTGCGCCATTAACTTCTGTTGTGGCTTTTTTATTTTTATCTGCACCGCTTCTTTTTTTATTTGCAGTGGGCTTCGATTACTTCCTTTTTTTGGCGTCTTTAACTTTCGTTGTGTTTTTTAAAAAATTTGTATATGTACAGTTTCTTTTTTTATTTGCAGCTGGCTTCAGTTTCTTCTTTTTTTGCATCGGTAACTTCCGTTGTGGCTTCTTTTTTTGTGCATTCTTTTTTTATTTGCAGCAGTGGCAGTTCTCGGCCACCGTACAAGATCTATTTAATAAAATAAATTTACAAGTACAATGACAAAAAAAGTAGATTTTTAACATAAATTAAAAGGTTCCACGAAAAACGCCTAAATATCTAAAACAAAAAATGTTGTTATCAGGATAAGCTCATTGCTGCAGTCAGCCAATAAAAGTAGAAATTAAAAGTGGTCAAAAGGTATTGCCATACCATTATATATTTAAAAAGTGTGCCACCAGGGGGGAGAAGTGAGTCTGTGTTGTGCATTTCCTCTTCATTATTATGAAACTCATCTTAGGACACTTTTAAGACATGCATGCCACTCTGGAGAGTAAAAGGAAGTTGTTTTGTCAGTGTTTTGAGAGAAGTCGAGAAGTGCTGTTCCAGCCTAGTGATTTCATTTCGACCCCTTGCAGCCTCGCACACTCAATCACTTTTAAGGTGACATCAATTAAGTCAGTAAGGGCTCAGGATCGAGGGTGTGGGGAGGAGATCAACCTGAGACTGGGCCACGCTGTTTGATGTGTGCGTGGCAGTGATGTCACAGAGGAGGACTCTGCTGCAATCACACGAGGAGTAGTTGTGTCCTCACAGATGCACGCATGCCTTCACACTAGAGCACGTTAGCTCAGTATAACCATCGTGGGACCTCTTCATTTGCCTCCAGCAGCTCTTTCCAACTTAGTCGCCTGGTGTCACGGTGGAAGCGGTGAATGCATCTGAATCTCCAGGGACACTCCGCTGAGCTCCTAACAGGTGTTTTGGGGCACGCTGCCCACGGGAGGAGGAGATCATGTCCAATGGGAAAAACGCAAATGCTGAGCAAAAGTAAGTACAGACGAATTTACGCACTCAAGACTGACTTTTACCTCCTATAATCTTTGATGTGTTGGACAACCTGTTTTAAAACTTAATACTTAGGTATTGCACAAGAAACGTAATATCCAATTCTCTCGTTGCTCACAAAATGGCACACATCCATGGTAATAAAGCTCTTAAAATAAAACTTGGACAAACACATGTTGTAGTATTTTGCTTTTATTGTGAAAGTGATGCACAAAGTTACTCATTGCTGCTTGAACTAAAGTTCTTATTCTTATTCTTATTTTTATTCCCTTTTACCTGGACAAAACAAGGATCACGCCAGCTTATCAGTACACACAGTGTTGCTGCTTACTTTGCATTCCCTTTATCCCAGCACACACAGTTTGGTGCATTTGTGTTTGCTGTCTGCATGTTTCCACCCATGTTTGTGTGTTTTTTATGTGGCAGCTCCTCACAGATGACCCTGAAAGAGTGTCTGGATGAGTGTATGGAGGCTTTGGATCTCTTCCTCAACAACCACTTCAGTGAGAGCCTGGAGAAGCTTCGGCCAAGGTTGTACAAAAATCCTCCGGCACAGGGGTCTTTAAGTGGGTCTTCTTGTATGAGGGCAGCAGTTTTAGTCTACTTAAACATTAGTTTCAGCACATTCATAGTGGTTTTAGTACGTTGTCAGCAGTTTTTGCTGCGGGTAGCGAGAAGACACGTCTGTGGTGTGAACTGGGAAGTAGTGCTCTGCTGTCACAGACATTCAGGTGGCACTGATAGGCTTCAGTTCTCCAGGATATGAGGTGTTTGCCGAAGCTGACGCCCAAGGTCTGACTGATTCAACAGCCGACAGAAATGGAGCCCTGCAAAACAAACACCATGCACAAGACATGCAGGGATGGTAGATAAGATGGGGAGAATAAAGAGAGCTAGATATTTACTCTTTACGTCTTCTCAACGGGGACATGTTTAGTTCATACGGTAGCTCTGCTCTTAACATGAGCTGTGTTTGCTCATGTTATGATGTGTACAATGCTGATCTGGACTCCTTGTTCTCCAGAGCGAATGAGAGTATGTACCATGCTCTCATCTACGCCACAATCCTGGAAATGCAGGCCATGATGACTTTCCAGCACGATGACATCAGCAATGCAGGAAATACCATGAAGTGTGCCCAGGAAGTCTGCCAGAGGTCAGACAAAACACCTCTTTTTATTTTTTAAGGTGCTGCTAACTTCGTCTTCAGCAGTCTGTGAACCGTAATAGGCAAATCAAACTAAATGCATTTACATGACCTGTTTCGGACAAAGTGACTCATTTGAATGTCTTTGCATGAGAGGCTATCAAAGCAGCCATGTCATTACTCTGTTTGCTGTCATGCCAAATATGATCAGCAACCCAATGTCATGTTAGTGACGAGTTTTGTTTTTTTTATGTCAAGGTTTCGAAGGAAATCGCCAGGCTTGGTAAACAAAGCAGGAGGGGAACTACTTACTGAAGGTAAAAGGCTTGGTTGTCTCAATCCTTTTTGAACCCACCTGAAACAGTAACGGTACTATGAATGTGGTTTATAATTCCTGCTTTTTTTCTGTTTTTACTGTTTTTACATTTGCTCTTGGATAAAAGACCCCAAGCACAAAAAAAGTTGATATGCTGTGTAAAATATTATTCAAAACAGAATAGGATGCTTTGCAAATAATTAACCCTCTACATTTAGTATAAAATAGAGCAAAAAAACATAAACTGCAAGCCTTTATTTAAAAAAGACGTGGCTTGGATGGCAGAATATGTTGCTCCAAAACCTGTATGGACCTTTCAGCATTAATGGAGCCTTCACAGATGCGACAGATACCCATGACCATGAGCACTGACACACCCACCGTCACAGACACTGGCTTTGAACTTTGACCTGTCAACAGTCTGGATGGTCCTTTTCCTCTTTAGCTCAGAGGACACCACGTCTATGATTTCTATCTGAAATGTGGACTTGTCAGACCACAGCACACTTCCAACTTTGAGTCGGTCCATCTCAGATGAGCTCGGGCCCAGAGAAGCCGAAGGTGTTTCTAGCTGTTGTTGATATCTGGTTTTGGCTTTGCATGGTAGAGTTTGAACTTGCTCTTGTAGACGTAACACTCGGTAAATGTTTGGAGACCTAAAGGATGAGTTTCTGGAGTTTGAAATGTGAATTGTTGTCCAATTCTCACTTGATATAGAATTGTAGTTGTCCAATTCCCATCAATGTTTTCTGTGAGTTATTAGCTGGAACTGCAGGCAGGACATAGTTTCCTCGTTTCTTTTATCCCAGACATGTATTCTTTTCACGTACCTCGACATGTTTCGGTGGAAACTTTTGCTTTACTCGGAAGTGTTACTTGGCAAAACAATGCCAAACGACATTCTTCGCATATCCTATCAGCAGGGCTTTGGGTGCTAAACTGTCCTGCCTGCATAGTTGTATGTTGTTCATTATGTCTTCAGTTTCTTAGACGTAGTTCTTTTTTCTTTTATCTCAGACATGTATTCTTTTTATGTACCTTGACATGTTTCAGTGGAAACTTCCACCTTCCTCAGAAGTGTCACTTGGTGGTAGGTGTGACGCGTCATATCAGCTGGTGTTATAGAGGCGTGACCCCCCTGTCAAATTTTATGAGAGGGCAGTCACACCTCTCGCTGTCTGTTTGCCTCTGCTGGACGCTGCTCCAAGTGTCCATAGGTGTTGTTGACGTCCACATTTCAACTAGACTTTAGGTTTTCTACATACTCTTGGTATAAATGGATATTTGAGAAAACATTGTTTTCAGCTGTATGCAATCATCTGTTCGCTCATAAGTTTACAGTGACAGTGCCCACTCATGGATATTAAGCCAATATTAACTTAACCAAAGTCAATATTGTAGTTTAGTTTGTTTGGATGCTTAGACTTGACGAATAGCACATGACTCAGAGAAGGGCTGAGGCTGAAGAGAACCTCATTTGTAATGTTTATAAAACGTCAAATGAATGTTAAAGGAAGTCTTTAATGGATGAAGGGATCAGATGAAAAGTCAGGGGATAATCTAATATTCATAATACGCTAAATCTCTAAAATAGACACAAGTTATGTGGCAGATGATCTGTTGTAGAGAGATGTCATATTTGTATACTGACCCATTGAGCAATAGACGCTATTAGACGTCTAGTTTTTTTCTTTTTAGACCTAATATCAACCGTCTAGATTCTGTATATTTTTAGATGTCACATTTTGACCCATTACTCAACAACTATTTATTTCAAAAAGCAACTGTGAGTTGCATAACTAATCTCCAAGTACTTAACCAAAATAATTATGATAGCCGTTGAGCAATTTACAGTGTAGTGTAGATAAAGCCCAGATTTAGACTTTCATTTTTGGACCTGTGATAGCCTGATTTAAGACCAGTCATCTAGGCTACACTTAGACGTCTACTAGACCTCTTTCAGACCAAAAAATGCTTGGTGGGGATATTCTGTACAATATAGACATCAGTTGAGCAGTGGAGCTACTGTCGCTCAAAACTGTCAACATTTAAGTGATGAAAAAACTAAAAAGGAAAAATTGCTTGGTCACATAGCCCTATGTGACACTGAGATTCTTGGCAAACTCATGCAGAGGTTTTAATTTCCTATAATTTATAAAATCATATCTTTTCCCTTTCCAGTGAAATTTAACAAAGTCAGAAAAAGACAAAATTAGAAGATTTTGACTAGTCTGGAAGCTCTTTGAAGATAGTTGAACCATTTATTGAGATGCTTGTTTACACTTTATTTCTGATTATGAACTTTGTATGTTGAGTGATTCATAAAGAGAAGTTCCTTTGTAATCCCAATGGGCAATTTCAGGTGCTTATAGTGTGTTTTAACCACTAACTGGCTCAGATTGTTATTAAAAACATAATGAGAGGATTTTCTTTGAAATGAGTTTAAGATACAGGAATTCCCCTTTACTGTGTCTGTATATGTGTGTCTGTGTGTGTTTTTCCAGAGCAGCTTCATGCAGAAGTGTGTTATGCAGAGTGCCAACTTCAGAGAGCGGCTCTCACCTTTTTACAGGTGCACTTAGCTAATGTGTTTTTTAATTCTCAAAACAACTGCATATTTTTTTTTCTTCTTTGAAGACTTAAAATCACTTGGCCACTGTTGACCCAGCTATATATCTCTTTTGTTTTCATTTTCGCAGGATGAGAACATGGTGAGTTTCATCAAAGGAGGGATTAAAGTACGAAACAGCTACCTTATTTACAAGTAAGTATAAGAGGTAAAGTTGTATTTAGCAGACATCATTGCTGACTGATGTGATGTGATGTGATGTTAATGGGCAGTGATGTCTTATAACTTGTGTTTATTCAAAAGCCGGACTTGTTTCAAAGTAGCGTTGTTACAGGGGAACGCCAACAGCTAAATGTGTGTCTTAGAAGTTACATGCAACTAATTTAATTTTATGAGTGGAATAATTATGGTATTGAATTCCTGAACATATAGTACTATGCTATGCTGAACAACTGTATGTTTCCATTGTAACTCACAAAGTGCCTCTCTGTCATCCAGAGATCTGCATTCCTACATAAAATCTCAAAGCTTTCTTCAAGGACCCAGCCACCTTCACTTAGAGGGAGGAATATCGTTTGGAATCGGGGCGTTTAATCTTGTATGTCACTCAACAGTCTTCAAATATCATCATCTGAGAATAATTTGACAACCACGTGCTTGTACCACACATTCATCGAGCTATCTTTATTTGCAGACACTTTCTCTGTTTCCTCCGCGGATACTCAAAGTTTTGGAGTTTGCGGGCTTCTCAGGAGACAAGGTGTGATATACAAACTCAAACTTGTCTTTGAATGTCTTGAATGTGGGAGTTGAAGGACAAATGCTGATCAAATATAGATCCCCGGTTCGAAACAGTAGTGCTGGATGCCAGGCTGATGCCATCAAGGTTTTGATGATTTTGTTTGAGCTCAGCAACAAAGACATTTCTAGTCTTGGCTTTTAGACATGCTTCTTCTTTAGCTAGCTGATTGGTTTTATCTGGCTTCATCAATAGGTATAATTGTGTGTTATTTGCTTAGTGGGAAAATTTTGGATTGTTTTCTCATGGTATTACCTAGAAGAAACATACAGATGGTGAAAAGTATCGGTCCAAGCATTGAACCTTGTGGTACTCCATGGCTAACTTTGTAAGACTGATCTGATGAGCATGATTTAAACCAGAAGTTCCTGTAATGAATCCCTCTCCATTTGATGGTCAAGATCTGCTATTATGAAGCAGTCACTGAGCTGATTAGCTACTATTTGAGAAATTAAAGGAAGGTTAGACATCAGCCCTTAGTTGGTGAATGATCTCTGCCTGAGGTAAAGACTAACTTCTGCAGCTTATTTGGGATCGGGTCTAGTAGGTGGGTTGATGGTTTAGCTTGTTAAATGGTTGAGTTCAGTGAAGGAAGCCAACAGTAAATAACAGCTTAAGTAGATTTAAGGCTGTTTCCATGATTCCAGAGTTTGTTTAGAGATCTACACCTAATAGGAGCAAAAGGTTTCCCACTTGGTCGCTAATCGTTGAGATTTTATCATGAAAAAAGCTCATTACGTCATCGCTGCTGCTGATGTTAAATGTCCTTTCCTTCTCATCATCATTAAGGTTTTCTTACCACTTATTATCCGACACTCACGGTTAATTTGTACATGTGTGGTCTTGGTTTAGGAGTATGGTCTGTCGCTGCTGCGTAATGGTGCCACAGGGCTTAACCTGCGCTCCATGCTGTGTGCTCTCCTGCTGCTCTGCTACTATACCTTTCTCACGTTCATCCTAGGTAGGTTCATCTTGTCTAACAATATGCATTTGATTAATTTCACTGTGATATAACTTATCATCAGATATCCCTGTTTGATCCTCTCAGGTACAGGCGAGGGAGAAGTGAGTGAAGCTGAGAGCCTACTGAAACCTTTCCGGCTTCGATATCCAAGAGTGAGTGGTGATAAGTAACTTTTAAGTCCTCAAAGATCAGTATTTAGGAAAAACTGGGTGTATTTAATCTAGAACTGTAAGTCCAAGTCCCACTTAGCTGTTCGTGTGATGTAGGTGTTATGTTTCAGCTAATGGCTCGACAAAAGCTGGCAAGTCATCCTATCAGCATTTAAAACGAAACCATGTTGCTTGGATCTTTGTCAGATTTTACCTTGCACCCTAAGTCCACCATTTTTCCTCCGTGATCTCTTGCTATCAGTCGTCCAAATTTGCCTGACCCTGTTCTTGCAAAGTCACGATCCTTATTTCCGCTCCACCTTTTACCTACATGCCAGCCCATCCCAGAGAACAAACTGGGAGCTTTGACACACTGTGTACCCAGCAAAGATAGAAGTGCCTTGTTTAAACATTTCTAAGAGTTATTACTTTACTGTGAGACTGCTCGCAGATAAACAAGAATTTAACATGGCGTACATCGACAAGAAACGACAGAGGAGACTGAGATGTAGTTATTTAAAGTGCATTTCCCTTCTTTACCCAGGGAGCAATCTTCCTCTTCTTTGAAGGCAGGACTGAAGCCATAAAGGGAAACATTGATGAGGTGTGTTTAAACAAATTATAATTCTTTTATTTTGTGTACATATGTTTTTGCATTTTATTCCCATCTTTATCTGTGAAGTAGAAAACTTAAGCCTTGTGTCAATGTTTTTTATGCAAATACCTCAAATGCAGTCCTTCTGTGTCTTGTCTCTATATAATAAAACTGTCCCACCAGGCTGTGGCTCTCTTTGAAGAAGGATGCAAGGCACAGCAGGCGTGGAAGCAGTTCCACCACATGTGCTACTGGGAGCTGATGTGGTGTTTCACATACAAGCGAGCGTGGAAGATGGCGTACTTTTACGCAGACCTGCTGAGTCAGGAGAGCCGCTGGTCCAAGGTACGGATGGCGACAGACTAGAAAGGATCAGAATAACTTTTAAAGGGGAAAAAATCACTGAATCTTTCCTCTGTTTCTTCCTGGTAGGCGATGTATGTTTACATGAAAGCTGCTTGCCTCAGTATGCTGCCAAAAGATGAAGCCAGGCCGTTTGGGGAGGATGAGGTAGAGCTCTTTAGGTAAACACAACACAACTACTTAATGCTATTGTGATTAACTTATGGGTATTTGTCAAACTGTGTCTTTGAGGTGAGTGGTATCGCTTCTGCTTCAAACAGGCAGAAACCTTGAGCACAACCAGACTCATATTTGACAGTCATCTGCTGCTATTGCATTGGGTTTAGAGAGGAGGCAGAGACAGAAAGAAGATGGAGAAGGAGGGAAAGGTACTCAGTGTGGCAGTCTAAACCTAAAGCAGCATAACTAAGAGTTGGCCCAAGCCCGAACTGGCCCTAACTATCAGCTTTATCAAAAAAGAAAGTTTTAAACCTAAACTCAAAGGTAGAGAGGGAGTTTAACATTCAGATGTAAGAGCAAAAAGAGAAGCACTCTTTTCCCCTCAACGTCTTGACTGGTGCTGGACTTCAACAGTGTCAAATATGAGTCTGTCTGCTGATCCTGATATACAGCCTTTAATTTTCCTCAACTTTGTCAGATCAACTAGAAAAAGTAATTTTTATTCAAACACATCTAAGAACAGTCATAATTTAGACATGATATTGTTCCCTACAAATATGTATTGAATTTAATGCTCATAACTCCATATTTCTTGTGTCAAACTTTGCATTTTAATTCATAATTTTCTAAATTTTTCTCGACACCTGTAGAATATTTCATGGTAAACTTGTTTCTCTGCCCAAGTGACCAAAATCTGATCAATGAAGTTTTAAAAAAAATCTAAGACATCTGAAGTTTTAGCTTTTTATTTCTATTTTCTCATGTTTTTAGAAAAGTCCCCGCCTTCAAGCAGAAGATAGCCGGGAAATCTCCCCCTACTGAGAAGTTTGCTATCCGCAAAGCCAGACGCTACAAGGTTCCCAGACCAGTCAGGCTCCCTGTGCCAGTCCTGGTAAAGCTCCGCACACAAACACATTCATACAACATGCTATATGTTTCACCACCAAGCCTTTCAGCTGCATCCTCTGTTTCTAAACAGGAGATGATGTACATGTGGAACGGTTTCAGTATGATCAGCAAGCGACCAAAACTGACCGAGGGCATGATGCAGACTTTGATGGAAGCAGAGCGCACCCTGCAGGAGTCTCCTGGTAATGCAAACTGTGCAACAACAAATCTCTTTAAACATAAGAGAACTTTAAAGCTGTTAGCAGAAATATAATCATGCCTGCCACTTTTGTTACAGAAAATGAGTATTCGATGGATGATCGCTGCGTCATCTACCTGCTGAAGGGTCTGTGTTTGAGGAACCAGGGTCTCCTGCGGGAAGCTGAAGAGTGCTTTACCACAGTGTGCTCCAGGTGAGCAGCGTAGGATGTATTTTGAAATACTTTCAAATGACCATCTCATTAATTTTATACCAAATGGGTCTAAATTGAACCTTAAAGGCATTAAAGTTTGGTTTTTGCTTCATTTTTGTCCATAGTATAAAATGTATAATTAGAGAACTGATGCGTAGAGTTCTTATCTGTATGTTTGGATTAGAAAAAAAACGCACTGCCTATGACCACGAGGAGGTATTTAAGCTTGAGTAAGGTGTATGTGTGTCTTTCGTAAGGCAGGCTGTTTACTTAATATGTGTAAAATGTTACTGTGTGACAGACTGTTGTATCACCTTACGCTTGTGTGTGCTCAGTGAAAAGAAGATCAGGTTTGACCACTACTTAGTGCCCAACGCTCTGGTGGAGCTCAGTCTACTCTACATAGACCAAGGCAAAAGGGATGCAGCCATTAAACTGCTACACAAGACCAAGTAAGTTCTTCCTTTCAAACATCGCAACACAACATCCAGTAACATAGATCAGACCTGGTAACTCCAAACAAGCAGTCTGTGTATCCTGCAGAAATAGCACTTGGATGCATAAACTGTTTGCATTGGTTATTGTTAGGTTAAACATTAATGTTTGCAATAATACTCCACATCTTTATTTTTATGACATACTATATTGAGTAAATATTTATCTCACCAAACAGCACATTTGTGCTACAGTTCAGTCAGAGTTGAAAGTTGCAAAGTACTAGAGAGTAAATACAATACTATTTTTAGTAGCCACTATTTCAAGCTGATTTTATACAAGCAAATTTTGTAGGGAAATACCTCTAACAGCCAAATCTATATTTGACATCTTTAGGTTTACATCTCAGGAACTGAAAAGAGGATAATCAATAATTAAAATCTAAAGTAAAAACTCTCTGGATGAGACTTCTTGCAGTCTGTGAAGCTTGTTGTCACATTTCAAGGGTTTTTTTTAGGTATTAAGTAGATTCTGATCTGTCCCTATGGCTTTATTTTTACAACTCATCAAGTATCCACTATTTTACAGAACATGAGAGATGAGGTGGGAAATGGGAATAAAAGATTTAGATTGGTGAAAATGTTCTATTTACATATACAGCCCCAAGATTAATTTCCTGTTTAGTATGAAATTAGTTTCATAAGTTATGAACTCTGATCATAAGAACAGCCACATAGCCAGTATTGTGAATATATGCAACCCCAGCCTAGGTGCCATCTAAGGATGTACGGAGTGCACAATTTCAGGTTTTATATTTTTGTCAGTTTTGGATGAAGCAGAGTTAGACACTTATTTAAATATATAGTTTTACCTTCACTAAAATCAGGCAAGCCAGGAGGCTCCCTGCTGAAGCCACACAGTAAACACGAACATGAGAGGTATTATTCTCATTCAAGTCTCAGTTTGGAAGCTTTTTTTTAAATTTTTTTCACCATCATTAAAATGTCACTGCAGAACATTTTATTATATTAAAGATTTGCATTGGGACTTTCATCAATTACAAATATTGTATTAAATACATAAATTACATTAATCCTTATTTTGAATTCATCTTGATTTATATTCCTATTGCAAATATTTCACACAAAAGTTTTAATGTCATGGCTGATTGAAAAGGACGATAATATCAATATGGGAAATCAGAGTTCTGTCCCTCTGTTTGATTAGTGTAGAGCAGCTTCAGAGACACAAGAGGTCGCTCTCCGCCGTTAAATATACATGTATCCTTCAGTCACACTCTTAACTTTTTCTCCTGTTTTTGAACTCGTAGAAACTACAAGGAGTACTCGATGGAGTCCCGTACGCAGTTCAGGGTGCACGCTGCTCTGGCTAAACTCAAGGCTGAGCACAGTGAAGAGGAAGACAGTCATATGTAGGAGGACCTGTCTTCATCGGGCTCTGTTTCCCTCACGTCTGCGCTTGATTTAGCTTCATGAAGTTTTTAACCTTTTAGTAGCTTTAATAAGTCAATACTGGATCGTTTACCAAAGTGGTCTTGTTAACATTTTCAGGTACTTTTGTTACAGTCCATATAGATGTAAAAAAAATGTATGAACTCCTGAAATATTTCTACAGACCCATTCTTCCTGGACTAGCTCATAAGTGCGTACAATTATGAAGTGCAGTTTGACCTTTTAAGAGAAATGTACAGCTATATTCTATGGACAATGTTTTTTTAAGTTTAAAGAACATTTTAGTTAATATTTGATTAAAGCAACTTAATATATCAAATGAGTTTTATGACTAATAAGATTGTAGTGTGTTTTACTGTATTAGATAAGCTATAGGTGATATTTAAAGGTACAGTGTGTAGAACTGGGAATATTGAGCGATATTTTGAAGTAACATTCTCGGTTGAAATACTCTTGGTGTATGGACAGTGGTCTTTGAGGACCTATGATGCATAAAAGTATGATCCTCCAATCAATAAATTTTTATAATCTATCAATAACAAATCATTATTCACTGTCTTGTTCTTCTTTATCCCCCAATTGGTGCATTTAACAAAGCTGGATGCCCAAAAAAACAGAATAACTTTTTTATATTCAGGTGATTACACACTGATTTAAACAAACTTAAGATTTGCATGATGTTTCAATCCTCGACCAAATCCATTCTGCTCAATTCTACACACTTTATCTTTAAATAAGTCAGTTTATTCAACACTCTGCTGTATTACTAGATATTTTAATGTGTAAAGATTTCTGTGATATTTAACAAAAACTTGAAACAGCCGTTCAAAACCTGCTTTGGTTAAAAGTAAACCAGAATGCAGAAATGTGACCCTCAGTCTCCACTGTTTTGTGCACTGGGTCATGTATGTGCCTCATTCATGTGTGGATGCAGAAAAGCCTCGCTAAAGCATGTTGAGGAAGTGCAGCAGCTGTCGGCTGCTGTGCTCAGCAGTTTTACCATCTTTGTATCAATTAAAAAATAGACATTGCTCCCACCTTTCAAACACTTCACAATGTATAAAAACTATTTTTACTGGAATAAATTCTCAATACAATACTGCTGTGTTTTATACTTGTTTTCTTCATGACTTGCATGAATCTGTACATCATGTAAAGTTAGTTTATTTTTTAAAGCGGTAAAGACAGTCACAGACATTAGTTTACAAAAGACTTGCCAACACAAATACAGAGGTTACGGAAATTTTACTTCTGCTTGATCAACAGGGCAAACATCAGAGGGTCATTTTTTTTTTTTCTTTTTTGAAAAAAAAAAAGTATTTCTTGATTAGGGTCCTTACAGTTGCTCTCATAACATAAACAAGAATTTAATATACAGATTCTCTTTCTAAACAGTCTCTCTGAAGTGTGCTCTGCAAAACACCTGCCATCTTTTTCAATAAAGAGTAAATCCAAACAAAAATTAACATTTGAGTTGCGCAGTCCTTCACGATGAGGAGGCAGCGGGAGGTGTGACGGCACCCGTTGCCTCCTGCAATTTCTGTCTGCGTTTCAATAGTTTTTGTTGCTTCCTCCTTTCCTTTTCAATTTCCTTAACCATTTCCAAGAACTTAGGGCTACGGGGGTCGATGGCATAGCCAAAACGCTCCCTGGCTTCGACCAGTATCTTCTCACGTTCAGCTTTCTCCTCCTTCAGCTTTCGCTTGGCTTCACGCTTCTCTCTGCGCCAGTCAGCAATCATCTTTGGCATTTTGGCCATGTTGTCTGCTATGAGTTTCTCCCTGTAGTGATGATAGAAAATATAAATGTGACACATATAAAGCACTGTACAGTCGGTACATATGTTTTTGCTAGTTGTACACACAGATTAGCAAACAAATGGTTGTTTTTGCCTCAAATGGTGACTAGTTGTCTTGTTTTTTTCCCTGACTTGCCCCTCAGTCCCTCTTATCTGGTTTATAAATGACCAAATAAAGGAAACATCAGCAAAATAATGTAGTAAAACATGATAAAGAAAATATAAAAGTTGTGTATGCCACTCTCTGTCACTATGTAAAGAAGAGTGGGGTAAGATGAGTCATTATTTAGGATCACTACATCAAGACAGTCATAATTTTGTCTCTAACTAGTGTATCTGCATATATTTCAAGATGTTTTGCATCCCTCCAAACTAACAGAATGATCAATATATTTTACCATTTCCAAGCAACAGGGGGTGGCTCAACTTACCCCACTCTCCCCTATATCAATTTTAAGAGTTGCACTTGTGCACTTTTTAAGGACTTAAAGGTGACTGTGTAACCAACAAGCTCAAACGGTGTTGCCCACACCATGAGTGAAATAATTTGATAGAAAGTTCAAATACAAAATATTTGAGACGAATCGTAAATTGTTTGAATCTACCCAAATGTGTCTGTCTGCAACTTTTCTTATGAAATGATTGTTGTTATTATTATTATTAGCGAATTACATTGGTGCACGTATGAATGTGTGTAAACAGTGATAAAACATGCAAATAGAACAAAATAGATCTAATTTTATTCATTATTTATTTTCTTTAATTGCTAAAACCATTCCCAGTTGTGTAAGTAAAGACCATGTTTTCTTAATAGGACACTGTCCGATAATTGACGCACTCGCCATGGTTGCTCAAATGTTACTCACTTTGCCAGCCGTTTTTCAGTTTCTTCTTTCTCTTTGGCCTCGATGTTTGCCAGCAGTACTTCTAAAGTGGGGTGCCACTCTTTCTCCTCTTCAATGATCTGATCCAGCTGCTCATGGCTGGGCCACAGAGAGGCAGGGTCGATGCCCGAAGCGGAGCCGTAGCGGCCGAACAGCTTTCTGTCATACTTGGCCGTCTTCTGCCACTCCGGCGTCTTCTCACTGTCTTTGTCTGGAATATAAGGATCGCGGAGGTTCAGCTTCAAAGGCTTTGGGTTATAGGAGGCCGTTTGCATCAAAGTCCCAGTCTGAGAGTTTGACAAAATTACAGTTTTTAAAGATGAAATTCCTTTTAAAGATCTACACAACACCGATGTCCTCCTGCACAACATGGACGCCGCCATCTTTCTTCATCTACAGGAAGGACCCAAAGACTGAGGTGTCTAACGCACTGCCTGTACAACACGCACAGTGGATTCGTCAACGTCCTGTCCTCTGGTAGGTATGAAAACTTGCAAAATACAGGCAGTTTGTTGCTACAATTGTAAATTAAATGTTAATTTACAATTGTATAATAGTTAATGGTCGAACAACAAGCACAAAAACTGAATAAATTCAAAACAGCGTCAAAAAAACTGCTTTTCAAGCTTCGAGAGCAAAGCTACCCCAAAGAAAATCTAACTTGGTCAACGGTTGCTTCCGTTCAAAATTACCTACTAGGCAAAGGAACCTATCTCCACACAGCTAGTTACATCCTCGACAAAGGAAGAAAGAAGGAAATCCGTATTTTGGCGGCAAACACGAAGCACCGCAGGCCTGTCTATTCCAGTTTTGGGTAAGGCCTACTGTCCCAGGCAGGATTTTGACCGAGGCCTGTCTTTTTCTTAGACAAATGTGTGTGTTTTTTTTGGTGATTTTAATAAGGGATCGGTTGAGGAAAGAAGTGGATTAAAAGGCTCTCAGTATTTTCTGACCAAAATCTGTAACTGCAGCTTCTGAAAAATCCCCCCCATCTTTCAGAAACCTACAGCCAATATTAAGGCGCAAAATCAGACCTGGGGTATAAGACATACTACCACTTGAAAAGTTCTTGTTTAACAGGTACTCTTTTCCCCTTCCACAACCAGAAGAGGGAAGAGAGATTTTTTTCCATCTCAGGGGATGTTTTTATTTTAACAGTTTCAGGGGCTAGTCTTATTGGGAAACAATCTACTTACTTCATAAGTTTATTTACAAACAGACAACAGCTGAGCAGAGAGATGGTTAAACAAGTAAAAGAGGAACAGTTGAAAAGCAGATATCTTATTAAATAGTGATTACAGCTTACCTGCTGCCAGCTTGATTTCTGAAAACTCCTTTAAAGATAAAAATCTGAAAACACTACAATAAAGAGCTGTTTAAAGGGATATTCCTGCGTAAAATTAATTCAGGGTTAAACACACAGTAACACTGAGGTAGACACCCCCTCAAGAGATGAATGTTGGCGACCGCTTGCTTCTCTAGTTATACCAACTGCAGTAACAACCGCAAATAGCAATACAGAGAACCAAGCACTCAACCAAAACGGCACTCTTTGCTAAAGAAACCTGGCAAAGTTAAAAAGATGTTTGGTGGGTAGTACTATGGCTGGGACCCTATATGTACTGTTGATGAAGTTAGGTGCTGTTCTGAGCATTTCTTTAGCAAAGTGACGAGACAGAACTCACCCACTCTCTTCCAGCAGCCGCTTGTTTGTATAGAGACCTAAGGCAAGTCCATCGACTGCAGGGGGGTGACGCAGCTTAAGGAAGAACATTTATAATAATTTCTATATCATTTCCTTGAAGTAATAATCACCATATTAATCATTTTGCACTGCAAACGCGGTAGTTCTTCTGCCTTAGTGTCTCGGTCTGATTGCATTTCCATGAAGAAAAGATCATAAATGTCCTTCCTTGAGCTGCGTCACCCCGCTGCACTCTGTAATGGACTAGCCTGAGGTCTCGCTACAAACAAGTGGCTGCTGAAGGAGAGTGGGTAAGTTGTGTTTAGTCTCCTTGCTAAAGAAACCAGGCTAGTGGCTAGTGCTATGGCTGGGACCCTATATGTACTGTTGATGAAGTTAAGTGCTGTTCTGAGCATTATTTGTGGCTATAGAGTGGCGTTTTGGTTGAGGTTTGTTGATGGCTCCTCAGACCGCTGTCTATTGCTATCTTGCAGTCGTTACTAAAGTTGGTATAACGAGAGAAGCAAGCGGTCGGCAACATTCATCTCTCGAGGAGGTGTCTACGTTGGTGTTATGGTGTGTTTGACCCTAAATTAATTTTACGCCAGAATATCCCTTTAAGTCACTTTATTTCCACTAATATAGGGTCCCACTGTCCATGCCTTAGAGATTAGAAAATAACTTCAGAAAATGAGCTAATGAGTAATAAGATGAAAGTAGTGTTGAAACCACCATAAAAGTTTTGTTGACTTGTGTTCACGTTTTAAAACCCAACATAGAGAAAATAACTGATAATATCATTCATTTTGTTATAAGAAAAACTGAACACAGCGTGATGCAAAATCAAGGTGCATAGCTGTGCTTTAGATGAAATACATGAAGAAGCTTCTAAGGTTAAAAGGGCATGTGGGTAGTTGTGGTTGGGGGACATGTTTTCCTCTAAATGTCCCTGTTGACTTGGGCATGACTATGAGCAGGTGGGTTGCAGCCAGAGCATCAAGCAAAAAAGGGGGGGGGGTGAGACTGGTTTAACACCTTCTTTGAACATGTAAGGACCACTGGGCAGGGAAGTAAACCTTCAGAAGAGAGGATCTTTGTTTTAACCTCCTTGGCTCCACCTTCCCCTTCCTCTTATAGCAGCCACCACCCTCACTCAACTTTTTATATTTGATTTCTTTTCAAGAGGCCCAGATAGATGGAACAAATGGGGTTGCTTTGGAGTGTGGCACTTACATTCACAGATGTCACCGCTTTTGTGTGGTGGGAGCACGCAGAGCTCTCCATCGTCATTAAAGATTCAGGGTTCCCATGGCAGGGGGAGCACTAGGCTGGAGGTGGGGGTGGGCATGACAGAGGCTTAATTTGGCTTAGGAGCATTCGGGTGCCAAGCTCAGGGCTTTAGGGATCACATCAACGTCAGTCGCAGGCAAATAGGCTTGTTAGCAGTTAGACGATAAGGAGCTGGTGGCAAGATGACAGGTCTATTTCTGAGTGAGTGTGAGTGGGAGAAGTGGTTCTATATTAATACATGTTTGAGGAAGTTATGTAGGACACACTCACCTAAATTATGACTCTATTCCTCTAATTGCATCAGTTTGTACCTTACTGTGTATTTGTAAAGGCCTATAGAGTTTTCTGCTGAAATTAGTTGCAATAAGAAAATAAAAAATAAAACAAATACTAAGAGTTTAAAAATTTAAGAACATAATCTAACCCTTAATTGTTGGTCAGATCTGTAAAATCATATCTGGTCACTTAAAGACAGAGCGCTCATAAGAGGTCAGTCAGGATTGTGTTGGACTTAAACCCAGGGGGAAACAGAGCCAAGGGATTCCCTGAAGAAGAACTTAAAATGCTAGATTACTTATAGACCAACAGAGGCTGTTGAAATCTCAAAACCACCTTCACAGGATCTAGAGAAATGACTGACACCAGGGGAGAGTTGCTGTTTCAGAGGTTTAACTCCACTTTAAAAGACTGAGCTTCAAACTCGGACTGGATTTTAGGCCAACTGGAAATTTAGCGCTTATGCTTTAAATTTGTTTGTCATTTTGTGTGTTTATTGAGTGTCTTACTTAACTTTTGTCTGTTGATGAAAACGTATTTACAATATTGATCTACAGAATGCCACTTGAACTTTTAAAACATGTTATAATCATGATATCTAGAGTTGAAATATGGATTCTGATAAGTAGGAGAGACATTTTCATCCATCCAAATAACATGACAGTGATTTTAAATTGCAGACATGGCTGAAAAATGAACAAAATTCAGGCAACTTCATTCAAATGCATCAAAAGTGTCCTTCAATGTGAGGTGTCTAACTATATTTAACCATGTCCAGATTTTTAATAATACAAATTCACTCTTAAATGACCATTATATGTAGGTGACATCTGTAGGTGAGTTAAAGCTACCGACCTTGCCCATGTGGAGCTGTGGTTCATATGACAGATTCATGCAAAAAAAGTCAGTGTAGCTTCATAGCATGTGGTCAGAAATGTTCCTTTCTTGTTTTCATTGTCAAACATATCACTTTGAATACTTGCTGTGGAGAATATTAAAAAAAAAACACTTTCTGCGGTATGCGGTTCATCACTTCCTCCGGTGCCAACCCCCCCTGGCCGTGGTTTGACAAATTAAAATTGAAAATGAAAAATAATCAGCCATTTTTAAGGCCATGAAAAGACACCAGTTTTATTTACAGCTTGTTTCGTAACTGGAGAAAAACTCCTCACAGGATCTTTAAATATACCGTTATGTGATCAACACATTTTTATTATTTGGTAATTTACATGTATTCTCTTTCTCTTCCTCACACACACGCACATACGAACACAGCCAAGCTTTGGTGTAGCAATTTGCCAAGCCAGTGTGACTATTTGTTGACACAAAGAAGAAGTCATGATAGATTGAGTCTAAATGAACCTCTCTTTTGTTGGCCTTAAACAATGACAGGGTTTTACTCAGAATTTTGGCACCGAGATTCAGTTTTGTCAGCATTTCCCCAGAACAGGGGATGAGGACAAAATCCAAATAAAAGAGATCTGAGCCCCAAAATATCTCTATTTCCTGGTAATGACATCAGACTGCAGCTTTACTGCACAAAGTGAAAAGGAGAAAGAAAGAGAGGAAAAAAAAGCCTCCTCTGCAAGACGACTCCCTGCTGCGCTGGTGAAAAATAACAGCTTTCTGCAGGAACATCACACAGACATAAATAATCCAAAGGTAACTAAGGTTGTGCATTGTGCAAGAAAGTTCCTCATAGAAGCCTTGTCAAACTTTTCAATTTTGCATCTGATAGTCTCAATTAGTGCCTCCAAAAAGGCCATTATGCTCAAAACAAACAATAAAGATGTATGCAGAATATTTTATGGACCAGATCTCTGCAGGCTGCTTTTTAAACACCCCGACAGCCCCCCACTAATGTTAAACTTGGACTTCACCCAATTCAGAATTGCCAGTGTAAGCAGTCTTTAGGGGGGGTGGTGGTGGTTGTGGTGGTGGGGGTGTGTTTGAGATGGAGGGGGGCTGATGTGTGTGTGAATGAAGCCAGAGGTGGACGGTGAGCTTTCAGCAGGGAGCAGTGGAGTATTTTACAGGAATGGATGTATCACACGGAGATTCAGTTAGTGATATGTTTGGAGGCTCAAACAGGGGGGTGGTGGGGGTGCGCCTGCAGCGTCCTCCCCTGCGTTTGTAGAAAAAGTGCAGCGGTGGCTTCAGCC